TAATAGAGTGGTAGAAATGGTTGCCTAACACATGGGAAAATAGGGGAAAAGAAACTCACCCTTCACCCATTGGCGTATCCATTAAAGGTCCAGTGAAGGTACTTGCCCTCACTCAATTATATTATTTACCTATGAAGGTGCCAATTTTTTATGAAGTTTTGTATTTATAATAAGGGCCAGTTGTTTGATAAAATGCCTTAGAGAAGACTAAGGTGGGGTGCAAGGGGGCAACATGCTCTACTCCTCTACTTATGTTATTCTTCTTGTTCTCTAAACTCACTCTTCTCATTCTCCTTTTGGGTCGTCAATAGAGGAACTATGTAGAATGTATTGTGTTACTAATTTGTGCATGAATATGTTTTTTTCTTACATTAAAGAGTCGACTTATCTTCATTATAAGTGGCTTTGCAGTAATGTTTTCTTGCTCCCATAAAAGAAAATTCATGAATCCACCACTACCTCTACCGATATAACACAAGTTGTACCAATAACAATGACATAGATGCAAGAGAAAACATGAAAGCTAAACAATCCTTTTCACTAGGATTATCTCTGAAGAATTACCAAATCATAGGACCAAACCTCTATGATGATTCTCCAACTAGTACTCGTGCACATTGTGAGCAATTTATTTTTTTTTTTTTTTTTTTTTTTTTTTTTTTTTTTTTTTTTTTCATATCTCTTTCACTCACTCACATTATTAGGAATTTCAAATTTCAATTCCTAGCCTAAGATCGCACAAACAACCAACAAAAAAATAGATACATAAAACAAGTAAACAATGCAAGGGTTTTACAAGGTTCACTTCAAATTAGGCTACCCCTCGACTGACGATATGGCGATTATCCATTATGAAAGTAGCAAAATTAAAACGAAGAGGAAGTGGCCTCTTTCTGCCTCCACACTCTCAAAAAAATGTCACTATATCAACCTTTTTCAATAGAGAATTCACATACAGCTAAAAGCTCACACCCTAAGTTCCCATTTGGTTCACAGAACGGATTTGAGGGGAAATTATTTCCCATATCATTTTTCAAGAGATAGGAAATGGAAGATTTCTTTACCATGTTTGGTAAGTTGGGAAAGTAACTAGGATAAATAACTTTATTTATTTTTCCCATGTTTGTTTTGAGTAGGAATGGAAAACAAAGTTTATATAATTTTAAAATTATACCCATATTAAATCAAATAAAAAAAGAATGCATTCAATGATATATTGTAATTCTAAATTGTTAATGGGGATAAAATGGTCATGAAAAATGTGTATTTAATGTTGGCTCATTTTCCCAAACTTTCCCAAGATGAGAGAAAAAAAAACCCAAATTGGGAGAAGGACTTCACTTTCCCCCATACGATTTCACATACCTAAACTTACCAAACATGTGAAAACAATTGATTTATCATCCCCAAGCCTCCTTTCCCATAAACCAAACAAGGTCTAAAGGTTATATCTCGTAACCTTGATAAGCTAAGTTACATTGTAAGTCACAAAGAAGCTACTACACTTAAGGATATATTTATGGACGTCTCCAAAACCCTAGCTCTGCTAAACAAGTCACACAACCCTATAGGAAAATAAGGAAACCCAAAACATAATCGAATAGGACTTGAAATACAAACAGAAAATATGTGAACCTCATAAGCCGCCCGATAGCCCATCTATGCCCGACCGGTTGCCTTGCATCGAGAGTGACATATTACGTTCCACGGCAAGCCGATTGGTGACTGTTTGTCCCCCAACTTGTCGCTAAGTAGTCTTCATGTAATACACAGCTAATTCGAGTCGCTATTCTCAACAATAAAATACATGAGTTTATGAGAAATTTATAGTAATAGAATTGAGCTTTACTGTACTGTAAGAGGAGAAATTATAATAGAGGTAGCCCTTCCTCTTCTCAAATAACCTCCTCAAAAATGAGAAATGTTTCATTCACGGGTAGACTAACATGTGATTAGCCATGCATTATTCAAATCCTTTTAGCTAGAAAGGGAACTTATAATTATGCTCATATGTAGCTGTTTCTCATGACTTGTCAAAACAAGAAAAAAGAAAGTACTCATATGTTGATTGATTACAGTATTATTTATGACATGGTCGTATTTATTATGTTTAAAAGGGCATGGCCCAAACTCCATAATTGTTCCTCATAGGGACCAACTTCGATTGGTCCATAATCTACATTGACAAGGCTTCATCTCCAACACATTTAGCGGTTGGATACATGGAGAGGGTCACTTAATTTTTGCCTTATAATTGGATAATTGTTAGTACAACATCATGGTTTGGAGATTTGTAAGATTGCATTATTTACTCACATAGAGCATATAGTTACATATGAATCAACCATATTTCTGTTTGGTCAACGCAAACGTCTCTTAAAATAGTATTACATCTCTTCTTAATGTTAAAAGAGGTTGCAAATTCAAATTCACCGTCTCCCGCCGCCTGCAAATATGATCCATATAACATTATACACTTTTTTTATATTTTTTATACTCAGTTATATATTTACCTCTTTGCCTGAAATTGGCGATGATTGGTAAAACGATACCAACTTGAGTAGAAATGAGGAACAACTGCACAGGTAGCTATTGTTTTCAAATCAATGGAAAACAGGTAGCTATTGTTTTCTAATCAATGAAGTTAAGATTTACATAAATAAATTGGGTGTATATGTACGCAAGCCAAAGCATAGGGTCGCAAATTGACGTTTATCTAAATTGCGGTACAGCACTTAGTCCTTACTTGCATTTAATTAAATACCCTTTTTTCTTTTTCTTTTTTCCCAAACATAAAAATTTCACTTTAAAATATGTAATTCAATATCTTCAAAACCAGGAATTAGATCAATTAAGGGAGGAACCGTGAAATGAATTTTTTATATTATTTATTTAAATTATTACAAAAGTAATATTGTAAACTATTTTAATATATGAGAAGAGAGATCAAACTCAAGTGCAAGGGGACCGGCACATTGCCCAAAATTATTTTTAACAAACTTAAATACATTGTTTTTTAATTTTTAAAAAGAAGCCTGGACAATCACAAAATTAACTAACATGGCGTTCTGAATGAAATCAAGATCCCCTCTACCCAAAACAAAGACACTTCTTTATACAAGGCAAACTTTACCAATCTATGTGCAGCATCAGTATTAGCTTCTCTACATAAAAATTGGAAAATAAATTAAGGGACCAGACGTTGTTTATCTTTTGTATTATATATACCAATTCATTAGGTGACACTATTTTATATGCTTGCATCTCCCCCTTACTTTCATGTTTTGATAGTTCAATAGAAACAAGAAGATAAAATTGTAAAAACAAGGAAAATGATTGCAAATGTACAAAATTAAAGTGTGGAAATCACTACCTTTTTACAAATACTTTTTAAATCAAAAAAAAAAAAAAAAAAAAAAAAAAAAAAACTTAATTTTTACAACATTATTCAAATTAAAAGTTATAAAATACGGTTCCACGAGAATAAAAACGAATTTTTAAAATATCATTATGCAAAATAAATGTCAATTATGCAGGAGATGATTGGTAACCATAAATGCAAATCCTACACATTAGCAAATTTTGGATATCATCTTATCTATTGTCGATGTACACAACGGGTGTCTTACATACATTGGTTATAACTTATGCAAAGTTGTATGTTTTATACAACGAGTGTATCACATGCATGGTCATGTATTAATCATTTGACCAACGTGCGTGACCAATGCATGTGAGACACTCGTATAAAACAGAACAACTTTGCTAAGTTATAACCAATGTATGTAAGACACATGTTGTGTACATAGGCAATAGGTAAGATGATATCCAAAGCTTAATCATGTGTAATATTTGACCAGCGCGCCTGACCAATGCATGTGAGACACTCGTCGTATAAAACGACTATATATATATATATATCAGATTCTCTCCTCTTCTTGAGAAGAAAAATGGAATGCCCTTAAATGATGGTTAGTAACTGGTAATGAAGTCTACAAAATTTAAACTCAAGTTTGAAACAACTTCCAAAATTAGGAATTGACGAGCGCGCGCCTGATCAACGCATGTGAGATACTCATTGTATAAAAATACTATATATATCAAATTTTCTCTGCTTCCTAAGAAGAAAAATTGAATACTCTTAATTGATGACTAGTAACTGGCAATGAAGTCTACAAAATTTAAACTCAAGTTTGAAACAATTTTCAAAATTAGGAACTGATTAGCGCGCCTAATCAGCGCATGTAAGACAGTCATTATATAAAAAGTATCATATTTTCTCTACTTCCTAAGAAGAAAAATTGAATGCTCTTAACTGGTGATTAGTAACTGGTAATAAAGTCCACCAAAAGTTCAAATTCAAGTTTGAAACAACCTCAGTAGTTGAGAAGAGATACCATTAAGCAAAGAGTTAATTGATAAAAAGGAGGAGAAATGTGAAAAGTGAAAAATGAAAAATGAGGAAAAAGAAGGAAAACAAGAAGAAAGAGAAATAAAGAAAATGAGAAAATCTAGGAAAAGATCACATCCATGAACCCATGCAGCCTAACGTTCAGTTGACTCCCAGAAATAAAACCTCATTATTTAATTAAACTCCCCCAATATTTTATAATTACATCCCAAAAAGAAAAACTCCACTCTCCAAAATATTACCCCCCCTCCTTTCTCTTTTCTCCCCCCCTCTCTCTCTCCTCTCTCTCTCTCTCTCTCTCTCTGCTTTTTTCAGCTTCACATCCCCCAACTCCAAAGCCCCAAACCTCTCTCTCTCAAACTCAATTTCACATCCCCACCCCAAAAAAACCCTAAAAACCTCTGATCTTAGCCGGTCCCATTTCTCGCCGGCCCCCCAAAACCTAAACCCAGCTTCGACCCGACCCGAAATCGCCGCCGATCCGATCCGGGCTCCTCCCATTACAGCACCCGAACTCGGAGCTCGGAGAAGAGTCGGGTCGGAGACAGAGCGAGAGAGAGAGAGGCAGGATAGAGTAAGGGGCGGAGAAATGTACAAGAACCAGCTGCAAGAGCTGGCCCAAAGGAGCTGCTTCAATTTGCCTTCCTACACGTGCATTCGGGAAGGTCCAGACCACGCGCCCAGGTTCAAGGCCACCGTCAACTTTAACGGCGAGATCTTCGAGAGCCCTCACTACTGCTCCACCCTCCGTCAGGCCGAGCACTCCGCCGCCGAGGTCGCCCTCAACTACCTCTCCAATCGCGGTCCTTCTCACTCTCTCGCCGCTAGGATTCTGGTCAGTTCTCTCTCTCTCCTTCTCCTGTCGCCGTTAGGGCTACGTTAGGGTTTTGCGCGCGTGGTTCTCAGTCGCCGCTCGGTGGCTTTTGGTTGTTTGCTCTCTTTCTCACTGATCGTTTAGTTTCTGAACTCGCAATTGAAAACAATACTTTAAAAAATTTAAATTTAAATTTTGTTCTTAAATTTTTGAGTTTTGGTTTTCTTTTTGTATTTGAGTTGCTAATGTGCGCCGTGCAAGTGATCAAGCTTGTCCTGCGCACAGCAGTTGTGTGGGAGTCGGAGGTGTAGATCACTGGCCTGCCGGGATGAGGCTTTGGGGCTAGGAACTTGGGTAATGACGGAAGTAACCCCCTTCTTTTTGTACCTGGGGTTCTTAAAATGCAGTTTGATTCTCTGAATTCTGAAAAGCTGACCACCGTGTGAAATGGAAATGTCAGTAATTAAATCATTCAACAGGGGGTGTTTTGGTCATAAAAATGTGGGTTTCGAGAGTCAACTTTATGGAACCTGTTCTTCCTCGTTGACCGCCTGATTGGTTGCCGGGAAAACAGAGGAAGTCTTTTCTTTTTTTCTCTTTTTTTTTATATATAAAAATAAATTCTTCATGCTAATGATATTATAGGGACTTGTTTCAATTCTTAAGCTGACATGTGTATTGGTGTATTGGGAGGAAATTTGATCTCATCAAACCTGACAGTGTAGTTTTTGATGGAAGTTGAATGCATTTTAGTTGGATTAATAGGTATCACGGAAGTTGAAATGCCCATTAAACTTTGTTTCCCTGCCTTATCAACTTTTTGGGTTGGTTGCAAATTGATAGGACACCTAAACTATGTTCCCTTTCAAACGAATCTTGGAAACATTGGTTATTGTATTGCTGAAATTAAAATTTTGCTACCAAATATTATTAGTTTTATCGGGTCAGTGTAATTTTCCCAATGTCATTGTCACTTTCAATCTGCATGGTGGACTTTGATTATTCGTATACAATGTTTTTGTACTTTAATTAGTTATGTTGTCTTGATACTGATAAAGGCCTTAATTTTCTCAGGATGAGACGGGGGTTTACAAGAACCTCTTGCAGGAAATTGCTCAAAGAGTTGGAGCTCCATTGCCGCAATACACAACGTTCAGGTCTGGCCTTGGCCACCTACCTGTTTTCACTGGGACAGTGGAATTGGCTGGAATCACATTTACAGGGGAACCTGCTAAGAACAAAAAACAAGCTGAGAAGAATGCAGCAATGGCAGCTTGGTCATCTTTGAAGCAATGTGAGTGGTGGTCAGGCTTATATTCATCCCATTACATTTACGAATTTCACAACATATAGTTAGATCCTTACCCCATAGTTGGAATTTTATTTTACTTTAAGATCCATCTTAATCAAGTATGTTGAACTAATTTGCTGCATTTTTTTATGCTAAAATTTATTTGGTGCATTAAACAACAGTCTTCATTGGAGCTCTTGCTTAGTTTTTAATGTTCTCAGTTATTGCGACCTTAAAGGGTTTCTGACTTTTTATCATTCCTATGTATGATATTAAGGCATCTTCAGCAACTCATTATAACTCTGAACTCATCTATGAAATTGATGTCACTTATATGCTCCTCTTTGAAGTCATTCTTACACATCATGTTCTTTTTACCGTTCAAAAAATAAATAAATAATCAATGGAGCAGTTTACCTCTGTATCATCTTTACATATTAAAGTTGTAAGCTTGGTGACATAATTTTGGAGAGTCCAGATCAATGTCTAGGAACTTCTGCTTTAACTTGAATCACGTGTTTTCTTTTGGCCAGTGGCAAAGGAAACTGCGAGTTCTTCATCTGAACCAGAGAACAATGATGAGCTGGAACAAATCACTATAGCACGAGCCTTGCTCACTTATCGTTTGAAGGAAAAGATGGCAAATCCAACTGCTCCAATACTATTTCCGAAGAAGTTTCCAGTTCATAACCCCAGACCTACAAGTCCACAGCCTCCATCTGCTCACACCTCAAAAATACTGCCCTTAATTTGCCAAAAGCAAGCTCCTCGCAGCAGACTCCAATCAAATGCAACAAATGATAATCGTATCCCGTCATCACAGCCTTCTCCATTAGAAAGCCGTGTTTTGCGTCCCAATAGATTCCCTGCTGCAGGAGCAGCTCCCTATGTTCCCATCCGACAATTGAGGACTCCTTGCCATGGGATTGCACCGCCAGTGACAATAAGGACAGCAGTGCCTGTGTTCTCGGCACCACCACTTCCGCCACCTCCTGTGATGCCCTGCCAGGCAATGCGTGTCCCACCACTACGAGTGGCTCCTCCTGTCACTATGAGGCAGGCTGTGCCTGTATTTTCTGCTCCACCGATTAGAAAAGATGATCCACCAACCACTCGGAAAGAAGATCTTCCAATCATTGTGAAAGAAGATCTTCCAGTCATTCGGAAAGCAGATCCTCCTGCTGTTATTGCTTCTTCCCCACAGAATGATTTGATAGAGGAAACTGGTAGCGCATCCAGCTTGCAGGAATCCAAGACAGTGCAAAGCTTGGAACAACTAAAAATTTGATGGTGATCGGGGAGAACTTAGTGTATGGGAGGAAAAATAGTTGTGTTGCCCTTAAGTTTGTTTTGTCATATTTCTCATCTTATTATATGTGTTTTATTTTCTTGCCCATCTTTTCTTAATCTTCTACCCTTTTTTATTTTGTTTAAAGGTACAAGTTGGCAGGTTGGTTTAGAATTAGCAATCTCATATTTATGCGATTTAAGAGTAGCTATGTCAGTTTTGCTCTTCAGTTACTAAATTCTGCATTTAGTTGTAATATTCATGCCATTGAAGAAGAGCTTTGTGCTGGAGATTAGGGAGGGAGGAGACATGATATAGCATATCATATTATTAATTCAAATTTCTCAAGTATATTAAGGGGAAAATATGTTTAATGTGACAACAGGCTGATCAAAAAATTAAATTAACAGGAGTTCTCAATTGTGGATCCTACAGTCGGGTTGATCTCTTATTTATTATATATGAACACCCTTGCATATCAAAATTCAATTGAATCAATCTAATCATTCTTTGAATTAGCGTTTCTGCCATGCATTTTTACCACTTGAATTTGAGCCTTGTGGGTGAAGTAACATGCTTAGGCCTATTTTGAATTAACACATGGAAAAGTGATTGGATGCACAGATAGCCCAATGCTTTTTGGGATATCAGGGCCCAGTCCTGTCCTCAAAACCATACTTCATTTGGGTTGGTTCTCCCACCACAACATGGATGAGATTTTCTCAAGCCCAGCATGCCAAGTTGAAGGCTTTATGTGAACATGGAAGTTGGATTTTCCGGAAATGCTATAATGAGGGGTTGTGGGAGGGGTTCATTAATGCGCCCATGGATCCAAAACCTTAATGGAAGGGATCAAACATTTGGAGTTCTACATGTATGTTATGGTCTGTTTGGTTGGATTGGAATTCCCTACCTCTTCAATTTCATAAAAACTGATATGAGAGAGAGTATTTAATTTTAAGTCAGTCTAAGAATTCAAGCATTTTTTGAAAGGGCATTGGCTGCTTATTATTAATGATATGAAAGATAATACGGAGCACCCATCTTCAATGCAAAAACAGTATAATTTGGGAACATATTCTAATATGCAGAACAAATCAAACACAGGGCCAACGAAGTTTAGTCTAGTGGAAAAAAGCATTGATTTGCAAATCAGCGGTCTTAGGTTCGAACTCCCATGGCACCTTGACAGTGTGTATGTGAGAAATCCCCTCCCCCTTATAGTTAAGACTATCGTTTGTATTATAAAAAATAAAAAATTCAAACCCAGCCAGTCTTTCAAGTCCTATATAATCTCTTTTGTCTTTTCTTACTATTATTTGGTAATGCCCACAAGGATTTGGTTCTTAACTCTATGAACATAAAGACAATGGTATATATATATGGTAGTCTTCTGGTCTTTTCCATCTACCTATTATTGAATGTGGTCACACCTAAATGGACCACAAGGTTTTTAAAGCAAGCTTAAAGCAAAGCATGTCCTTAATTTCTTTAAATGAAGGAACCAGGATACCAAAATGTAGCAAAACTGATGGTAGAGAGATGAATGCTTTATATGAAAATCGTTATTCTCACTCATTTATTGTCATTCAAACCATAGTGTCCTTTACCACCTGTTAATCTGTCATGTCCCTCAACCAACCAGCCAATGAATCCCATCAATCTTTAATTTTAGGTAGAAATGGTTCATAATTGAAAGAGGAAAGGAAACTACACAAAATCATCCCATTTCAATTGCTGCATCAGAATCTGCAGGTAATATTTTTACCCACTTTGCTTGGTTATAAAAGTGCACCAATTGGTACTGGACAGATTTCTCAAGACACCCCAAGTGAATAGGTAAATTCAACCACAGTAAATAGAGGCTTGGTAAATTTATTTAGGGTTTAAACAAGTGTCATCAAATCAAACTAGAAATTTGATGGTGCAGTGGTCCAAATCAACAACAACTTTGAGCTTGCAAATCTTGCGGGCACAATTCATTTAATGCATGTTTTTAAGTTTATCCATATATTCCACAGTCAAACTCCACATCAGTTTCTGATGAAGAGGAATCAGCCATGACCAGATCTTGAAGCATCCTGAGATGAGAAGAACATGAAGAAACTTATGTTTTAAATTGGATCCCTTTAAAGTTAGGATTTAGATCTATGTGTTTTATAAAATCAAAGTGCCTAGTTTATGTGTATTTTTTTTGTAATTAAAGGTCTGTTAAAGTCAGGTAGTTATATAAAGGATTACTTTCTTTTTAGCTAAAGTTGATCGCTAGATCCAATGCTCTCAAAAAGGACTTTGTCATATAGTGCTTAGAATAGTGGTCTTAGGGGTACCCCTCTTCTAGAAATTCTATTTTGCATATAGCATTCTTTTCTTTTTCTTTTTATTTTAATTTTTTACGGTGACTAATTACGTAACTAGCATATGAGAGATGATTATTAAAAAAGCGCCGTGTATTCTTGACTAACATGTAAAAAGTGATTTAGAAAGAAATATTGATTGTACATATGTGTTGTATGCTAGAAATTTTCACTCTAGGGCAAAGTGGCTTCAAATTTCACTTGAGCAAAACCCTAACCAGCTGTTACATCTTCATCCATTTGTGGGTTAAAAAGCTTTAGGGTGGGAAAAGAACAGAGCATGGAAGAGTGAAATGATGTAAACTAGGGGGGTCAATCATGTGTACCAAACAAGCAAAGGTTCAAAGGCAGAAAGAGGAAGAGGAGAGAGAGAGAGAGAGAGATGGTATGACAAAGTGGCTTGCTTGGGGTGGGCCCAAGTCTCCACTTCAACGACACCAACCCCTCAACAAAAGCCACGTCAGCATTCTATTGATTTACGCAACAACGAATTTTTTTAAAAAATATGGGGCCAGGCCCAGACAAGATGGGCCCACATGATTGGACTGGAGATGGGGCCCAAAAGGGGTTTTAAGAAGCACTGGCAATATTCCTTTCCTATGAGAAAAGCAATGGCTCAAGGCAAAAGGAAAGAGAGAGAGAGAGAGAGAGAGAGAGAGAGAGAGAGATGGGAACCCTCCACCCATTAGGAAGAAGAACACCAAGCAAATAAAGCAAACCAAAAACAAAAGGGAAAAACAAAAAAGAATTAAGGGATGAGGGGGACAAAGTGGAAGGATGTTAATCCCATCATCTAAAGTTTATAAAAGAAAAGAAAAAAAATATACCCATTTGACTTTGTTATAATCCCATCATACCCCATTCATTGTCTACTATTTATATGCAAACAGGTAACATATATGTCATGCATAGCCCACCTACCATGTGTTATTTGCTTCACTTTTGCAACATCAATCTTTCTACTTTCTTAAGCCTTGTGTTTTTCAAGCAAAAGAAATTCATTATCTTTAGGATACGGCTTGCCTTCCTACTGTGAATCAAAGTTTGACATGTATGCAAAAATAATTCATCAAAAACATAAAATAAAAAAAATTATACAGACATGTCACACTGCTATTGATAGGAATGTAGGAGCTCCTATTTATATGGTAAGAATTGAAATATTTTCCTTATTTTTATCCAATTTTACCCATATTTTAGCCAAAGGCTCTAATACCATCTTGTTTATTCTTCGAATGTATGATCTTGATTCACAATATACAATTAATGTACGGTTCTGATTAGATCTGATTAAGAGTGTGGGAGCCACATTAGCCTCCCAAGATCTGGCCTATACATCAAGAAAAAGAATATACTTGGCTCCCCTCCATGTGCATGAAAGAGAGAATTATGTCTGAACTGATTATGTATGCACAATCATGCCAACAACACCATATCCATATATGGGGCATGAAAGAGCTTTTCAATGCTCAAAGTCAAATTCTTTTACTTTTTTTGTTTATATATATTTGTTTTTCTTCCAAATTCTTTTCTTCCACATGTTCTAATCCCATCAGCATGCTTGGAAGGTAGGGAATGCAAAGTCATATTGGGCAGACATCAGACTGGAATATGTAACCTTTTTGTTGAATTTGGGTTTGAACCTAAGCTTCCCATTATCAGATCCAAACAAAAAACATCTATTCCAGTTATAGTACCCAGCCACTTACTCATGCCAATCAAGAAAAAACAAAATTGAACAACTCTTAAAACCGAATAATAAGCAAATCCTATTTTCCCTTTTTTTGTTACTATTTATCTCCAAGCAAACAAACAACCCTATTTAGCATACGTCATTATCACGAGAATAAGTAAACTTTCATATAGAGACAATGTCATTGTTGCGATATTTTAAGTCAATCACATATTGCTACCTGGCCAAATTAAATTTATTACATTCTTGATTATTTTAAAGTACCGCCCCAATGACGTCTCTAAACGGTAGTAAGTTTCCTACCATTAGCACATCTATGAGACTTAATAGGAATACATAAATGAATGGGGAGAGAGGATCACATAGGATCTCTTGATATGACAAGTTCTAAATTTTCACAGACGTGCGGGATTTGTTCCTTACGAATTTTGTGCTATTTTTGGAGTACATAATTCTTTCTTTTGCAGTGCTTTCATCATAGATCAATAAGGATCAAAGATTCACGATCCGCAGGCTGACAATGCTTTATTACATAATTATATTTGTATTATTTATTTTTCTTTTGGTTGACAGGTATATGTTGCCATCCTTATTAATATTATCATATCTATTTTTTCACATTAAATCAACAGCTTTTTGGTTATTTTCATATTATTTAATTACAAATAATTGTTCAATAATCTTTATCCAAAAAACAAGTGGACTTAAAATATGAACATTGGACACATGATAAAGTTGGGATGGCCTAGTGACATTTTTTATATTTGTTGACATCACAAACCATTTAAGTTCAAACTAGGAATGCAAGTCATGCGGGTCAAGAGACCAACAATGAGCTTGACCCAAAACACTAAAATCAAATCTTCAAATTTTATTCGTGAATAAACTCAATCAAATTTATAGGAATGTGTACAGTTTCGATTCAACTGGTTCTATGGCCGGAATCGACCATCGATCTAGTAATGTCAGCTAGCATACTTCCTCAACTAATATCAGTCACATTGAATTGCTACCAATACAAGTCCGTTCAACTATAATCGATTTCTACGGTTGTTACAACAACAACCATTTGAGAGAGATGGTCTCGTATGCAAGAGAATGTAAAGTTTCTTTAGAGATCAATCAGTCGGTTTTGGCAATTTTTTTAAGAAAAAATGCCTACCATATTAAGCTCAATCCATGATACGAATTTGAGATACTCAAACGGATCGAGTGGAATTTAAATAACAAATTCGCTGCATAAAATTTCATACTTGTAATATTATATAGTGAAAATCCACTTTGGTTGAACTTGAACTTGAACTTGTGAAGCACCCCTGTTTCACATCTATTAACCATTTTCAATTTCCGCAACTAAGTCCCATAATTTAATACTTAAAGAATAAAGATCGAAGGCGAGCTAAAACTTATAGTTAAGAAACACATTATCATATTATTTAGTATATAAAATTTAAAACTCTCGACCAAACCTAATTATAAACCACAAATTTAGTGAATGTAGAATTAGTCTTTAAAACATTGGCCACAATGTGAAATGGGAAATGTTCGAAACATTTTTCAAAGGCGTAACTTGACCTAATTTTGCCTCTGTGGTCAAAACACACAACCCTTCTCTTGTGTGGACTTACTGTGGAGGTCCATCTTGTACTTGGTGGATTCTCTATTTCTTTGACACTATTCTATCTCCCCTGTCCTGTGCACTTCTGTTTTTTTTTCTTTTTCTTTTTGGCGAAACAGTAATAATCATTGTGCACTTCTTCAATATAAACATTTTTTTTTCTGGGTAAACAAGTCATAATTTAATAAATTAGGTGTTAAAAGACGAGAATACCCTCATTCAGAATATAGTAGAAGAACATATCATGTAGCGAGGGCCCCTCCTTCCTCAAATTCAGCTTCAAACCTTAGACTGCATATTATCTTGCCGCTCGTAAATGTACTCAACTTCAACGAAAGTTTCGCTACATTTAATATTTTCACATGGTAAAATTATACGCGGCATGAGTTTGTACAAAAAATTTGTGGATTCAAGTTGGAGATTATCAGATTGGATTGGATTGATAATGGGTGGATCTATTAGTCACCCGTTAAGGTAACGGTACCAGGTCGTTTCGTGTCAATAAAATGATCATCTATTTGAACCATTAAGAATAAAACTATTTTAATATTTATTTAAACATTGTTTGTAATTTCTAATATTTTTCACTTTTTAAATTTAAAAAATATTTTATTTCTGGTTTATTTAGTTATATTTAGTATTTTTGGTTATTTTCATTGATTTTTGTTTGTTTGTTGTTTTAAATTCTTTTATTACGGGTAAAAGGGTGATAACGGGTTTAATTGGGTGCTTAATGGGTTGAAGTCAAATAAATATTTGTCATGTTAGGCCATCTCCAGCCATGAGTTATATCTCAAATATAGCATTAAAATAATGCAAAACCCATTTCTAGCCATGGACTAAACAAAATTTTGGCCAAATTTGGAGGGCCACATTTAGATCAGCTTTTGCCTAGTCCTAGGCCAAATTTTTTGTGAGCTCCATGCATGTGCTTTTTATTGATGATGTCAACTAGATATATATATATATATATATATAATCTTTTTTAAATGTTTTCAATTCGTAAAAAAATTATAAAAAATTATTAGTCATGACCATTGGATGTCAAACCATTGAAACCCATCCTTTTATATATATAAAAAATGTAGTCACCTTTTCAAATGTTTTAAGTGTTGTTTAAAAAAATTATAAAAAATTATTGGTCATGGAATATTGTCTCTAAATTGTAGTTTAATTAAATTAAACAATATATAGTTGTGGAATGTATGTGTTGTACCATAGTTTTTCTCAAAATAATAAAATATGAATGACCCTAAAATATAGCTATGCATGAACGGAGATGGAAAAATTTAGCTCTACACTATTCTTTAAATGATTAATATTTTGGAGGGCTAAATTTTTAGCCATAAACTACATTTAGTCCTATGACTGAAGATGGACTTAAAGGGTGAAATGTTGTCTAGTGTCAACTCTATAAGAAAGTGAGTCATGTCGGATAGAATCCGAAAACGAAAACATCAATCTTTATAATAAGCTTTTCTTATGCGGAATATTATAAAAGTTCTTAAATTCAAATTACCGTTGTGGAATTGATAAAAATAAATGAATGAATTATTCAATAAATATATTATTATTCTCGTTATCGATTTTTTTATGTTAGCAATGTCGTCAATACATAAAGTTTGTATTGAAAAAAAAGAAAAAAAGAAGAAGAAGAAGATGCATGTAGCCATTGAGAAGCAACACACATCCCCTTTGATGGTGAGCAATCTGATCAATTTGGCAAATGCAAATTCTTGATGGGGTCACACCTCCATGTCTGGCACTCTAGCCTATGCGATCGCCACTTTTTTTTTCTTTAAATATATTTTAATTTCAACAAAAATAAACAATCATTGTATCAAAAAGATTAATTTCAACCCGATGTGCAAAATAATAGTATTTTATACACGTTGCTGTTGCTTGTGATGCAAATATAGCCTTTTGGTATTTGGGCATTGCTTCTTTATTCATAAAACAGAAAGACATTTACTTGTCCAATGCAAAAAAAGAAGAAGCAATAATTAAGTCAAATTGAGTATGTTTTCTCATGAAGACACGTTAATAATAATATTACATGTTTTTGCATTTGGTTTGGGATTATGGGAAGCACGTGAGATTACTTTTCACGCATGCCAAAAGCAAGTGAAAAATGCCACAAACCAAAAATTATTTAATAAAATCCCCATTATTTTTTAATTAATATTAAACCTTAAATTAAAGAATGCAGCAAAATGGACAAATCGTATTCTTTTTTAAGAATATTTGAAGTTTTTGTATTTGATATCAAATGTTAAAATTCCACCGGCCAAAAAAGCTAACGTGCGCCGTCCATTCGGGCTCCACCGAAAAAAATTCTTAATCGTTATATAATTTTTCAGATAAACAAAAACCAACTTTGTTAAAAAACCAACGCCTTGGAACCTCATCTTCAAAGCCACTGGTCCTCCTCCTCTCTCTATTTTTCGGTTTTATAAAATGTTTTTATTTATTTATATATTTGAGAACATTCTCTGGACATCCACTTACTTTTACTTTTATTATTTCTTTAGATGTTAAAATAATCATTTTCCCTTTTTCTTTTGGCCAAATGCAACATATTCTACATGCCTACTAAAAAAATAACTTATCGAGTATGAGAATGTTTTAATGATGCCACTTTATGCATCTTCTTAGGTACTATTTGTACTTTAATTGGTTATGTGACATTATTTCCTTTCCAACAGAAAATTGGGTTATTTATCTCTTTTAATTCTCAACAATACAAGTGTTGTGCACTTTCACACAAAAACAAAACTGAGAAGTATTCTTTTAAAGACTTTTTTTTTTTGTTTAAGTTGAATATTACATTTGTTACATAAAATTAGGAAGTACTTGAGTGATGAGTGGATATAAGGATTTTTCTTTTTAAAAAAAGGATATAACCAAAACAAAAACAAAATTGCGTTGAGAAATTCTGGAATTGCATTTATAATTCAATTAAAAAAGCTACTAGCCACAAATGACCTTTATAGTAACGGAGTGATTTAACATCAAAATTAAGACAATTTGGTGGGCCTCCACTAACGATCACGCATAATTGAAAAAACTCTGGCATAAACATCCCAACTAAGATTGCAAACTCAGAATAATCGAAAAGAGATAAAGTTTGAAAAAACCAAGTCAAAACAATACAAATAAAACTCTCACAAATGAGAGGTGAAAGGCTCTCACAAAATGAGAAGTGAAAAGCTTGCACAAAAGGAAATGTGAAAACTATACAGAGAACCCAAAAAGTCTATGCGACTTATTTCAAACATAAAGAAACGGCAAAAAGGATGGTGGTGGAGATCCGAAGCCGAAACATAGTCGCCTGTGATGGTTGGAGTAAAATCATAACAAAATGAAGACAAATAGTGGAAACTTTCTGTCTCTGAGAATGGGGAATAAGAGAAAGGAGGAAGAATAATGACTTCCTCCCCTCAAAGTGAAAACGGCTCTAAGAGTGTTTTTTGGGAGAGAATGATATAATTAGGCATGTGCGGTTGGACCAAAAAAACCGCAAACCGGCGGTTTCCGACCGTTTGTTTCGGGCGGTAAACCGCGTTGACCGGAAAGTCAACGCCGGTCTAGTTTTTATTACCGAGCCGAAAGGTCTCGGGCACAGAACCGGTATCAATTTTTCCCAAACCGGTGGTTACCGACCGAACCAATATATATATATTATTTATTAATTATTATTTAAATTACACGTGTCAGCATGTTATTGGTTATAATGGGAGAGTTGTATGGGATTACACTATAACCGGCTACACAGAATCACTCGATTTCTTCTTCTTCGCCAAACCATTCGATCTCTCTCTCATTTTCACCTCAATTTAGCTCATTCAAACCCTAAACCCTCTTTTCTCCGGTCATTCTCTTCTCTCCCTTGTTCCGGTCCGGCGACATCTTCCCCTAGTGCCTCCTCTTGTTCTCGTCTCTCTCCTCTCCTCCGACCCGATTATCTGGTAAGAAAAAAAAAATTGGATTGCCTCTCTCTCTGTCTTTGTCTCTATCTTTTTTTCTCTTCTTTTTTCTCTATTCTTTCTTATCGCCTCTCTCTTTCTCTCTTTATGTTTCTCTACCTGTAATTGTTAATTTGTTAGTTTGCAATGGATGAAATTTATTAGGGTTTTATATTTTATTTAGGGTTTGTTTAGGATATGAATTGGGGATTTCGGGATTTAGGGTTTATGTTAGACTTCTTAGAGGGTTATGTAATCTGTTTAGGGGTTTTTTTTTGGGTTCATATTTTTTCAGTCTTAATTATCATCTTGATTTGATAATGAGTTGTTTATGTTAATTGTGGACAGATAGCTAGCTTGTGTGACTCATGAGCTGCTGCAATTTGTGTTGGTGTGAGCTGCTAATTGTGGACAAAGCTTAAATTCAGGTATAAATCAAAATCACAATTGAATTAATCTGCTGGTGTTTGTTTTAGCTGCTGGTTTTTGATTTGAAATTGAATGAATCTGTTTTTGTTTTGATTTGAAGCTGCTGGTGTTTGTTTTAGCTGCTGGTTTTTGATTTGAAATTGAATGAATCTCTTGTTGTTTTGATTTGAAGCTGCTGGTGTTTGTTTTAGCTGCTGGTTTTTGATTTGAAATTGAATGAATCTGTTTTTGTTTTTATTTGAAGCTATATTGGTTTGAGAACATGTTGTTGTAGCTGCTGGTTTGTTAGGTTTTGTATAAATATATTGGTGTGTTTTTTTGTTTTTGTAGTTGCTGGTTGGTTAGGTTGTTATTGTATTTTCTGTGTGTAGTCTGCTGGTTGGTTAGGTTGTGTGTGATTGTTTTTCGTTATGGTGTCTTTTGTGTATAGGATAAGATGGAGTCTAGCCAATCCAACACTAATGCCTCAGGAAGTGCACCTTCCATTCAACCCCAAACAGAACCCCAATCCCAATCCCAAACAGAAACAGAAACTGAAACCCAATCACAAGTACACTCAGGTACTGTGGGAGGGAAGAGGAAGCCCCCAAAATCTGTTGTGTGGCAACACTGCAAGAAAGTCCACAAGAAAGATGATAATGGGATCGATAAGGTACTTGCAGTTTGCAACTATTGCAAATTAGAGATGCCGGGTGATTCTAGGAAAAATGGGACACCCGGTATAAGAAATCATCTAGAGAAGAGATGCAAGCTCTCTCCTCTTTTTGAGAGTGGAGATAGAACTCAATCGATCTTGACAAATGTCACTATGGGCGGTCAAGCACAATTGGTTCCCCACACCTTTAATCAACAAAGGTGTGAAGCCAAATGTGTGAGGTATGTCATTAGGGATGAGATCCCTTTTAGGCATGTTGAGGGTGGAGGGTTTAAGGAGTTTGTGTATGAGTTAAACCCTAAATTTAAGATCCCTAATAGAAAAAAGATAGCTGCTGGAGTTTGGGATTTGTTTTTAGTTGAGAAGGCCAAAATAATGAGTGTGATAGGTAATCACAGGGTAAGTATCACAACTGATACTTGGACTTCGATCCAAAACATCAACTACATGATAGTCACAGCTAATTTTATGGACAATGAGTGGAATTTGCATAAAAGAATTATCAATTTCACAAAGATCATCAGTCACAAAGGTATTGACATAGGCAAGACTTTATGTGCATGTTTGAATGCTTGGGGAATTGTAAAATTGTTTAGCATTACGGTTGACAATGCTTGGGCAAATGATGTGGCGGTTGTGTATGTGAGAAATAGGATGAAGGATTTTAATAACCTTTTACTTGATGGGAAGTATTTGCACTTGAGATGTGCATGTCATATCCTTAACTTGATTGTTAAGGATGGGTTGAAGGAGCTTCTTAGCTCAATCGAGGGGATAACAAATTGTGTAAAATATATTCACTCATCCCTATCAAGGTTAGATTCTTTTAGGGACCATGCCTTAAAGATGAGGATGGATGGGATGACAAATGTGCCAATGGATGTGGTGACAAGGTGGAATTCAACTTATAAAATGTTTGATTGTGCTTTCAAGTACAAGCTTGTGTTCAATAGGATGGCGACGGAAAATGTAGCTTTTCAAGCTTACTTTGAGGAGATAGATAAGGATGAGATGAAGAGAGTGGGTCCTCCGAGTAATGAAGATTGGGAGAAGTCAATCTCATTTGTTCACTTTCTTAAAAAATTCTATGACACAACCTTGAAACTAAGTGCAACCAAAACGGTTACATCCAATATAATTTTCCATGAATTGGTTTGTTTACAAGTTGAGATTGAACTCAAAATGAGTGATCCTAGAGATCCGGTCTTGCAAAGGGTGGCTTCATCAATGAAGAAGAAGTTTGACAAGTATTGGGGGAGTTTTGAAAGTGTGAACAAGATGATTTTTGTAGCATTAGTGTTATACCCAAGATTTAAACTTCAAATGCTTAAGATAAGCTTCCAAAATCTCAAGGCCGAAGAAAACAAGATAGATGAGGTTGTGTGTGAAGTGAGAACATGCTTGTTGAATTTGTATAATGAGTATAGAGGGGCAGATGGCTTAGTGAGCCAACCAATGAATGAAGGCGAAGATGAGAATGTTGGAAATGATCTTGAAGGCTATGATGATGTTCAAACCAAAATGTTTCATCAACTTGTGCAATAAAGGAAGGAGGAACAACTTGTGGAAATATCCAATGAAGTGGATAAATACTTGACCGACCCTTTTGAAAGCCCTTTTACCAAAGTTTCAAACTCTTGAATTGGTGGAAAGGCAATGAGAGTAGATATCCAATTCTTTCAAAGATTGCCAAGGATATCTTTGCAATCCCAAGCTCAACCGTTGCTAGTGAGAATGCCTTTAGCCTAGGCAAGAGAATTGTTGATCCTTTTAGAGGTTCATTGACACCTAAAATGATAGAAGCATTAGTGTGTACTAGTGATTGGCTTAAGGCGGATGAATTTTGCTTCTACAAGGAACCAACGGATGAAGAGCTTGCATTCTATGAAGAACTTGAAGCACTTGAAGCAAGTAAGACATAATCTACTATTTTGTTTTAAATAATTTATGTTTCTATCTTATTTTTTTTAACATTCATGTTTGTTTTTTTAAACATAATTTACTTGTTTTACTTGTTTTTTTACTAGATGTGGCCGGTACTCAAACTTCTACAACACTACCTCCTCGATTTGATTCCACATCATCATTACCTACTATTTGAGACTCATCAAATTTTGAGTTGTGAGAGACACACCATGGTTTGTTACTTTGTTTTGTTCCACAAAATTTGTTGTATTGTAACAATTTAAGTTTTCATTGCACATTTCATATTTGGGTTGTAATTAATTTTAAATATTCTCATTGCACTTCATTAATCATTTCATATTTGGGTTGTAATTTAATTTTAAATAAGTTTTCATTGTACTTAATTTTCTATTTGGGTTGTAACTTATTAAAGTTTTCATTGCACTTCAATTTGTATTTGAGAGTTGTAACTTCTTACTAAGTTTTACTCAAGTATTTTGATGATATGATATGAATATGATGCTTGAAAATCAAAACTTGTGAATGACAAAAATTAGGTGGCCTAAAACTAGTATAATAAACAAAGGCTTGAAAGGTGAAACAAAGGCTTGAAAGTTGAAACAAAATATGGCCTGAAACTGAAGCAAAATCTGCAAAACAGGGCTTGAACAAATGGCCTAAAACTGTATCAAAATCTGCAAAACAGGCTTGAAATTGAAAACGAATTGGGCTTCGCGGTAAGCCCACACCCGAACCGAACCGGCCAGCATTGCGGTTCAACCGTAGTGCAGTAAACCGCAGCATGCGGAACCGGTTGCGGTAGCCAAACCTTCCATTCCGAAGGCTGTCAGACGATAACCAGTTGAAGATGATCGGTGCGGTAACCGAACCGAAAACAACACTAGATATAATGAATTCAAGTTGAAGGAAATTCTAAACTAGAATGAAATGTCATTAGAAAAGCGCATGATTAAATGAATTTCCTGATTAAAAGCCAACTATATGTGTCATGTATATGTTTATAATGACATAGGACATGTGTGGAAGATGAAAAACATTTGGCAAATAACGTACATGTTTAATGTTGTTAATAGGTATCTTTAGGTGTAAGGAGTTTGTAGTTTAAGTGGTTAAGAATATTTACTCATGCACTTGAGGTTTTATGTTCGATTCTCTCAAAGACCAAATTATTCAAGAGGAGAATTTAAAAATTGCATATAGAAAAGGGTCTAATTTTATTTTTATGTTGTTTCAAACACCATATGGAGTAATTAACGCAAAAAATTGAAGTGTCAAAATATTTTAGATGAACATGGTGCTTCAATAAAACACTAAAATAACAACCATCAATTGAGTGGTCAAATGGTTTTAGATTCAAATGATTTTTTACATAGATGATCTTTGAAGGAATACCTAAAAAATAGATGTTTGGATAATTTAAATACAATACGGAGTGAGCCCTACAAAGTAACCATCAATTGAGTGGTCAAATGGTTTCATATTCAAGTGATTTTTTGAAGAAATACCAAACAAATAAATGGTTTGTATTAGTGAAATACAATACAGAGTGAGCCCTATAAAGTATCCCTCACATAAACTTGTTTGAGTGATATTCGAATTTGTTATATAATTTCAACTCTTACCTACCATTAGAGCAACTCCACCCATTTGCCCTTTGCCATGGCAAGGGGGGGCTAGGGCATCTACTATTCACGTGAATAGTGGTTGCCCTTACAAAAAGCAATGTGTGTTTCCACCCGTTGCCATGACAAAGGGCAATTACTATTCATTTTTTATATTTTTTTCACAACTTTTTTTAGCTCAATAATTAATTTGGATAATATTTTCGGGTTCCTATGTGTCAATACTATTCATATATCATAATCGAATAAAATTTTCAGTTTCAAATTTTAGATAAATTTTTTTAAAAAATTGGCTGGTATTTATAGAAAAAAAAATTCATTAATTTTTGGGTATTTTTTAAAAAAAATTTCTAATTTTTTTTCAGTATTTTATTGCAAAAAAATTGGTTGCCGTTGGATTGGAGGAAAAAATCCTATCGGAGAGCCCAGACGACGTCACGTGGCAACAGAAAAAAAATTCAAATGAGTGGGCTCAGCCCAAAACTCGAGCTTGCGCTCGGGCTAAACTCCCCCTCGGGCCAGTCCAGGCTCGTGGCCCCCACCTCCTGCCCAGGCAAGCCTTCTTCGCGGGAATTGGGTTTTTTGCTTTGCCTTCACTTAGACCGAGGCTTGGGCTCCTCGCTGGAGTCGCTCTTACTGTCCTTATAGCCCAAAAAGAACAAAAAAATCCATTATTATTCATAAACTAAATGCAACTCATTAGTACAGTATTGTTGACTGCAATTTAATAGTCATATCAAATCAGTACCTATCCTCTTATTCCTTCGCATGGCAGGACAGTGACATTTAGTTGTGAAGAAATTTGCACTCAAATCACCACACGACAATCTAACTACTAAACAAGTAAGGCATATTATCTTGTGAGGGAAAATGATATATCTTCAAGAGGTAACTTGTCATATTTGTTTATACATCAATTATCCATACATGAGAATGAGAGTGAAGGAAATTGGTTTTAGAGCGTACACAAGGCTCCATTTGAAGAATATCATGCTGAATTTCGAAATCCCATTTTCACTTGACTAGTTTCATACATTTTTTGGAAAAATTATTCGATTTTACTATATAACTTTTGCTATTTAAAAAAAGAAAAAAAAGAAAGTCTTTTTATGATATATTTTTCCTTAATTTTGTTTTGGTTAAGAGTTCAACTCAGTATATGAGTTAAAAACAAAAGGACTCAATATATAGGCGAGGAAAAGTTTTCCTTCTGTTTTCAAGAAGGAAATAATTAAGCATTTGAATTAATTACTTAGTTCGAGTTTGTTTGATTTTACCTCCATCGAAGTAAAATTCATTTTTGTGATAAAAAGAGAAGTGAAATTCATTTTTGAGATAAAAAAAGAAGTAAATTTTAAATTTGTTATAAAACAAAATTATAAGTGTTGGTGTGTATCACTCTTACTATCAATGTGCCATAGGATTTCAAACCTGAGACTACTAATCAACAAGTCAAATATTCTTTTTCACTGAACTAGCTCCTATTGGGGAATTTACTGAATTTCTAAGATGGAAGAAGGTTGTGCATTCTCATAGACTTTATTATCATTATTATTATTATTTTACCAACTCATTTATCTAGTGTAGGTAATATACTAAAAGGAGTTTCTTTTTCAATATACAAAATGTATTTTAATTCGCAAATGACCTATCAGTGTAGTGGTTTGAAGTATTTACTCTCTCAAGTAAGGTCATGAGTTCGAGTTCTAGTATCCGTATAGTGTGTGTGAATTTAGTATGAGAGAAAGTCCTAAAAAAATGTATTTTAATTCGAAGAAACGGAATTAAAAAAAAGAAAAAAAAAAGAAACGATATCCAAAGGATTTGAAGGACAGTTTTGGATTTATACATTTGTTTTCTTACTGCCAAGAGAGATTTGGTTTACTTGACCGAGGCAGCAGATGACAGAAGAGCCTCACCCTACAATGACCTCTTTGGTCTAAGACGTCATTTCAAAGATACAGTAGGGACAACGACGTAAATGCGCCGAAATCATTTAAAAATCATCAAATTATAAAATATAAAAAAACCCCACTGCTATATTTGTCGGTATGCGTGCCACATAAACTCTCTCTCTCTCTCTCTCTCTCTCTCTCTCTCGCTCTTTTATTCTCCACTGTTTCTGCTCAGCTCAGATCACTGTCTTTTTAGCTCCCTCTCTTCCTCTGAGAAAATAAACAAACAAACAAATTCCCCCATAAATATTTTTCTCACATATATTCTCACTGGAAAGTGGCAAAAACTTATTTTTCTCTCTCTGTATGATGATTATGATTAGGGTTTCACTCTCTCTTCTTCTGGATTGTCTCCTCCTACATCAAGCTCTCTGATGCTTTCACCCACTGGCTCTCTTTATCCAGAGAGAGCCCCTACTTCTTGATTACTCTCTGTTCCTTCCCTCTCTATGATTTTGAGCTTTGTATTTCTGTTTAAACCAAAGGTTGCAATGTGTAACAAGCTTTTATTTATTGTATGAAAAAAAAAACTAGATTTTTAGCTGAAAAAAAAGACAGATTGAGGTGGTGGTTTTGAAAAAAAAAGTGGGTTTTGTGAGTTTGTGTCATTTCTTGGATTTTTTTTTTTTCAGAAATAGAAGGAGCGGGTTTCAGTTCAAAACAGCTAGAAATTTGGCTAAGCTTTGGTTTGTAAATTTTGTTTTGTATTCAAAGTTTCAGTTACAGCAACCAATAACAGAGCTTTGAGAAAGAGAATAAAAAACAGACTTTAGTTTGTGTCTGTATTGTAGCCAAGACCCCATTTTGGGTCTTCACCAACAAGTAAGCAATTGCTGTTGCTGTTTCCACAAAAGCCAAGAATCTTCTAGCTCGTCCGTTTACACTTAATCTCTCTCTCTCTCTCTCTCTCTCCCTCTCCTAAGCGGACGGACTTTACAAAGGCAGAGAATCTTTAACCTCCTTCTAAAGCCCAAAGAAAACCAAAGCCAACTAGCTCTTTAAAGCTCTCTCTCTCTCTCTCTCTCTCCTCTCTCTCTCTCTCTCTCTCTCATTTTTTGTTGTCTATATTTGGTTTGAGATTTTGTTGATTTTGGGGTTTTGGGAAAATGGCTATGGCTGTGGCTCACCACAGAGAGAGTAGTAGTGGGAGCAGCATAAACAAGCACCTTGATGCCGGTAAATATGTACGTTACACTTCTGAGCAAGTTGAAGCTCTTGAGCGAGTCTATGCTGAGTGTCCCAAGCCAAGCTCTTTGCGCAGGCAACAACTGATCCGAGAGTGCCCCATTTTATCAAACATAGAACCCAGACAGATCAAAGTCTGGTTTCAGAACCGAAGGTATGAACAAGTCGTTTTGGGCAACTGGGTGGGTTTGTTTTTTTTCCTCATTCTTTATGCTATTTGGGCACATAAAGTTTCTTTTTTGGGTGATTGAAAAATTGGGTTTGTTCAATTCCCCAGTTTGATTAAGTTCAATATATATATATATATATATATATTTTATCGTTTTAAATTTTGCTTGATATTATGCATTTTAGGTTAAAGCATGGTTTTTTCCCAATTGGGGTTTTAATGGAAAATCTAGGTGGGGAATCTGTGGTTCCGGGCTAAAAGAAGGGGCTTTGTTTTTGGGTATGCAGGTGTAGGGAGAAGCAGAGAAAAGAGTCCTCGCGGCTGCAGACTGTGAACAGGAAATTAACAGCAATGAACAAGCTGTTGATGGAGGAAAATGATCGACTGCAGAAACAGGTCTCTCAGCTTGTGTGTGAAAATGGGTATATGCGTCAACAATTGCATACTGTAAGTTTATGTTTGTTTTCTTCTTTTTTTCTGTATTTAGTCCTCTCTCCCCCCACTTCCTTTCTTAGTCGTGGATTTTCCTGTGTATGATTATCAAAGAATTTAAGGAAAGAATTCACCTTCTCAGACCAAAAAGTTCAAAGAATTTATTCGTTATTATTTTTTGAAGCCATTATCTGGTTGGAATTCTATTTTGTCCTTTTGCAGTCTTTCTTATTGAAAAAAAAATAAAAATACTTGCCTCAAGTTTCATGTCTTTGTTTAGTTCTTATTGACACTGGTACATTTCAGTCACATTAATTGCATCTGCAAGTTGTGCATTTATTCAAATTAATGGACGTAGTACTTGCTAGAACTTTGCCATATTGGACTGTTTGTAACCTCTAAGTGATTTTATCGTAGGCACCAACTACTGATGCAAGCTGCGACTCTGTGGTTACAACTCCACAGCATTCTCTCAGAGATGCTAATAACCCTGCTGGGTAATTCCCACAACTAGTGGAGTTCAGCTTTCCCGTTGTAAATACTTACTGCGGTAAATATTTACTGCTATGATGATTTCTTTGTTGTGCATGATCTAATCTTTACTATGTTTTTGGCAGACTCCTCTCCATAGCGGAGGAGACCTTGGCAGAGTTCCTCTCTAAGGCTACAGGAACTGCTGTCGATTGGGTCCAGATGCCTGGGATGAAGGTTGCTTCTTCTTTTTGATATTTGGAAATACTAGTTTGTGTTTTTTTTCTCTACCTTATTAAGTTTGGACAAGCCGGAATTGTATACATTGTCGTTCATCTTATGGGTGCTGAATAATCTTGTTTAAATGTTATTGCAGCCTGGTCCGGATTCGGTTGGGATCTTTGCCATTTCACAAAGTTGCAGTGGAGTGGCAGCTAGAGCCTGTGGTCTTGTAAGTTTAGAGCCAACGAAGGTAAGAGTGCACATCATTATTTTTGCTACATCTTTGTAGGCAGTTTATTTTTCATGTGATAAGGTTCACAAGCGATTGGGATTTGAAATTAACTATTCATATAAAACAGATTGCAGAGATCCTTAAAGATCGTCCATCGTGGTTCCGGGACTGTCGGAGCCTTGAAGTTTTTACCATGTTTCCTGCTGGAAATGGTGGAACTATAGAACTTATTTATACACAGGTGAATAAAAACTGTTCGAAATTCAGAAAATTAAACCTCCTGATGTTTGTTTATGCATTTTGATTTGAGTAATAACTAACATTTAACTGCTCCAGACATATGCTCCATCTACATTGGCTCCTGCAAGGGATTTCTGGACTCTAAGATACACTACAAGTTTAGATAATGGCAGTTTTGTGGTAAGCATGTCTGTTGTACATTATGTTGCCATAGTTTGTGGATATCTGGCTGTTGAATAGTCTAATTGGTAATCTTTCTTTTTTGTTTTTTTTTCCTATTCCTGTAAGTGGAGATGTAATGTGCTCTGTACATGTTTCATTGTCTTTTTGTAAGGTATGTGAGAGATCTCTTTCTGGTTCTGGCGCTGGCCCAAATGCAGCTTCCGCTGCACAGTTTGTTAGAGCTGAAATGCTTCCAAGTGGTTATCTGATTCGACCATGTGAAGGTGGAGGATCAATCATTCATATTGTTGACCACCTGAATCTTGAGGTCTGAATTTTGGAAATTTTCTTTTCTTATGTCTCTTTGTTACATAAGAAAACTCAATTGTTTTTCATCTTATTCCAGGCATGGAGTGTGCCAGAGGTTCTGCGACCGCTTTATGAATCATCCAAAGTGGTAGCACAAAGAATGACTATTGCGGTGAGTAGAATATAATTTATTCAAGATTCAATATATTCTTCTGTGCAATTTTGATTGACATGCACATCAGCATCTTGAAAACGAATTGTGTTTTTAGTTTAGCATATAGTGTATGTTTCCCGAAACATAACATAATTTTGCCCCTAATCAATGTAAACAATGTGCTTGATATTTTGTTTTCAGAATAAAAGGTGCTTTTTGTGAGATCATTGTCCATTCTCGTTGTCCATTCTCATGATGTGGTCATCTTCCTTTACGTCTTTAGACATATTAAGTTGTATGTCTTTATATACGAATCAAACACACCCTGGAAAATAGAAGTTCTCACCAATAAATCCATTTATCTCAACAATGCTGCTGTGATCCTATGTTAATAGTACTTATGGCAGTAGAATCTTCCATGTCAAACTTTTTGTTGTTTGTCTTGAACTAGTACATGTCGTATACAAAAACATAGTACATATCTTATCAAGTCGAATTCTTTTGGGGTAAAATATAAACCCTCCTTCCCAACTGACAAGATGAGTAGCTATGTCAAGAATAGAAAAAGTACTGACTAAACTTCTTTCATGAAGGCATTGCGCTATATCAGGCAAATAGCTCAGGAGACAAGCGGTGAAGTGGTATACAGTTTGGGCAGGCAGCCAGCTGTTCTGCGAACTTTTAGCCAAAGATTGATCAGGTGGGGTATTGTTTTATCTACGCATTTTATTTAACTGTTGTAGTTCAGTCACCTCTTTGAGTGTAAACGAGTGTTGTAACCACTCATTGGCTTTCTCCATAGAATTTTTTCTTCTTTTGAATTACCTGCATGTCTTCTTGTAGAGGGTTCAATGATGCTGTCAATGGGTTCAGTGACGATGGCTGGTCATTGATCAATTGTGATGGTGCTGAAGATGTTATAATTGCAGTTAATTCAACCAAGAATTTAACTACTTCGAATCCTGCTAATTCCCTTGCATTACTTGGAGGAGGTGTTCTCTGTGCAAAGGCTTCCATGTTACTCCAAGTAAGTCTGGAATTTGACCCTCATCAAATTTTAAAATGATAGTTTGTGTGTTGTGATCTATGATGCATTAAATTTCTATTCTTCTCACATTTTGAATGAGGATATATCTCTGCCTTTCGAACTCAATTATGTTGCTTGAATCCTGGCCTCTCTGTATTTTCCCAAAGAGTCTGACCTATGATTGTAGAATTTGAGTTGACTATTCTGTGTTGGGAAATGTCCATGGTTCTTCTTGCATCACCTGTGGTTTTTTGTTTTGAGATTAGGCATTGAACTTTTCTAAGGAGGACCTGGGTTTCAACTTTGCTGTCACCTCCACATCTATTAATGTCTGTGATGCCTGGTTTTCTGTTCAAGTTGAAGTGCACGTTTTTCTTGAACTTAATTGGAATTTGTGGTTTGATCATCATGAATCTGGAAAGTGGTGGTCTTTGAATGTTTGATAGGTTATATATTTTGTTTTTAATCTAATGAGATCTTGTCATGTGTTTCTTTTTTCATGCCAGAATGTGCCCCCTGCTGTGCTGGTTCGCTTCTTGAGGGAGCACCGTTCAGAGTGGGCTGATTTCAATGTTGATGCCTACTCTGCTGCATCTTTGAAAGCTGGTTCCTATGCTTATCCAGGGATGAGGCCAACAAGGTTTACTGGGGGCCAAATTATCATGCCACTTGGCCACACAATTGAACACGAAGAGGTAGGTTCTCTCAGTGATAATTATTATTGTTTTTTATTTTGCTATGAAATAGTGCATCTAACAGAGTAATAATTGCAGCAATGTTTTAGTCGCATTGAATTGAAAATATGTTCTACAAGAGTAGTACCCTCCTCTCCCCCCTGTTCTAACTTCTAGTTTTCATTCCAGTTGCTTGAAGTCGTTCGACTTGAAGGCCATTCTCTCACTCAAGAAGATGCCTTTGCATCAAGAGACATTCATCTCTTGCAGGTGCTTCTTGTTCAGTTATTTATATTGATGGTTCTTTCAATATCTTTAGTTTGTTTTTGTTGGACAATATCTCAGGATTGTCTTGATATTTATGTGAGGAATTTTACCATAATTATGTTCCAGTGTCATGTGCATACCTGGGCGATAGTTTGGAATGGTATGGGAATGGGCTAATTGTCAAACCACCTAGTTTAATTTGGTTCTCAGGTTGGGATTGGGAATTTGGGCAGATTGGTTGGTCTAGGGTCATAAGTTTGGGTAAATCAGTTAGGGGTTCTGATCTGCTCGTGTATTGATCAATGGAACATGTCTTATTTCCGATTGACAGATATGTAGTGGAGTGGATGAGAATGCTGTTGGAGCCTGTTCTGAACTTGTTTTTGCTCCAATTGATGAGATGTTCCCGGATGATGCTCCTTTGGTTCCCTCAGGTTTCCGCATTATCCCGTTGGATTCAAAAACAGTTGAGTTTTATCGTGCTTCACCTGAGTTTTACCTGTTGATTTGAACAACTAAACTGATTCATCTATTTTTGGATTCAGTCTTTGGGCCTTACTAGCATTCATCTTAATGTGTTTTTCCCCCCTTCCCCAACGCACTAATGTCTTGCTTATGAATACAGAGTGATTCAAAGGATACATTGGCTACACATCGAACATTAGATCTGACATCCAGTCTTGAAGTGGGATCAACAACAAACAATGCAGCTGGAGAGTTGTCTTCGTTTCATAATACTCGATCTGTATTGACAATTGCCTTCCAGTTTCCTTTTGAGAGTAGTCTACAGGAGAATGTGGCAACCATGGCACGCCAGTATGTTCGAAGTGTCATTTCATCTGTACAGAGAGTTGCGATGGCTATATCTCCATCTGGACTGAGTCCGTCTGTGGGGGGACCAAAACTATCTCCTGGCTCTCCAGAAGCTCTGACACTGGCTCACTGGATCTGCCAGAGCTATAGGCAAGTTCTTTTTTGAATCCTTAAGACTGCATGTTCAATCTGTTAGGAGACATGCCCGACCAATTTGGCTTGGTGGTGATATACAAACACATTAAAGTGAATTGAGGAGAATCATGCTTGAGTGCTCACTCTGCATGCAGAGAGGGCTTCAAGAACCTCTCTTCTGACAGGCTTCTTTGATACCCCATCTAATATTTTTTAGCGTTAGCTATACATGTTTCTTTAAATTGTATATGCAAATGATTTTTCTCAATTCTTTTCTTTTACCCTTTCAGTTATCATGTTGGGGCAGAACTGCTGAGGCCTGATTCCTTGGGTGGTGACTCGATGCTGAAACATTTATGGCATCACCAAGATGCCATTTTGTGTTGTTCATTGAAGGTACAAGTGCAAAGCTGCTGACAAAGATGTTAAATATTTTATATCAACTCCCATTAGCATATGAATTCAGCATGTCATCAGGTTCAATCATTTCTGGAGATCATAATCTGTGGAATTGTTGGTTTTGCAGTCACTCCCGGTTTTCATCTTCGCAAACCAGGCAGGGCTCGACATGCTCGAGACAACATTAGTTGCCCTTCAGGACATCTCGTTGGATAAGATTTTTGATGAGTGTGGACGCAAGACGTTGTGTGCTGACTTTGCTAAACTTATGAACCAGGTGAGTTTTACATCAGAATTATCCGTATATTATTTCCTTCATCAAAATGCCTGGCTTTCTGTTGTTGAATATATATGCTTGGAAATACTTTGTTTAAATGTTTGAGCTTTGAGTTTCTTGTAAGCCATTATATGCCATCTCCCATTGTACCTTCATTTTTTATTGTCATAAATCAGCAAAGTAATGTACACCTATGAAAAGCATGTCATGTGAACTTATTTGTCCAGAGAAATTTCTCTTTTAACCTTTTTATTTTCTTTTATTAGGGATTTGCTCACTTGCCAGCTGGCATTTGCATGTCCACAATGGGTCGCCACGTGTCATATGAACAAGCTGTTGCATGGAAAGTACTTGCTGCAGAAGAGAACTCTGTTCACTGCCTTGCCTTCTCCTTCATGAACTGGTCCTTTGTGTGAACATTTTAATTTATTCATCCATCACCTTTCTTTCACTTGATTATGGAAAAGAAGTTTGAGAAAAAGAAAAGGAGAAATGTGGAAATGGAAAAGAAAACCAAAAGTTTTGTAATATCTTTCTGTACCCCTGCCCCAGGTTTGCATCATATTAATTTAATTTAATTTTTATTTCAAGCAACCAAAAATTCCAAATGTGCTGCATTTCTGTCCACCAAGCAAACGTGCATTTAAGTGACGAAGGTACAAAAGACCCACCGTTTTGTATTTAATTTCTTTCCAATGAACCGGTCTTGTAGTTCTAGTGGGGAAGAGCATTTACCTTTCCACTCGAGGTCCGAAGGTCTTAGGTTCAATTCTTCCTTTTCCATTATTGCTTGTATAAAATAAGAAAAAAAGGTTGTGAGTTCCAAAATAACCCTAGAAGATGTAGATCGGGAGGGAACGTGAGTGGTTGACTCTAGTTTTAAAAGGAGACTTTTGTTTCTTGTGGTTCGATGCGCTTGAGCTCGCTTATTACCTATTTCATATGTTTCTTGTAGTGCAAGGATTTGTGTGTCCTCCAAATGATATGGCCGCAGGCGCAATGTAGGTGTTGTGAGATTTTGTTTGTGTACTTTAGAGAGACAAATGAATAATATTATTCATTTATTTCATGTACCTAATACCTATTTGATGAGACAAAAAAATTGTATTTCATGTGTTTCTTTACAAGGGTACCAAACAATCTTTTTCATAAGAGAGAACTCATTGTGTGCGTTGAAAACTTGAAATAAGCGTTCAACAAATTAAATCATGCACAAATGCTAGTCTTTCACGGGACCTTTCGGGGTTCCCTAGCTATAGGTTCACTTAGAGCATCCATAATGGGCTCCATAAACTACCTCCTTAGACAAATTTTAGGGAGGAATCGTAAAAATGCAACTCCAAACACGCTCCCTATCCACCTCCTAAAATAAGGAGTCATCTAGGAGCTCCTAAATCTGAGGAGAGAGAAAGAACTCCTAGTGGCTCCCTATAATTTAATGCTGCTTTATGGAATGAGTATTTCAAACCTTTATTTAATGCTAACTATTTTTTATTTTATTTTTTAATAGAGATGGACCAATCAAAAAAGAGTTATAGCATTTATGACTCTCCAAATTAGGGAGTATGGTTGGAGTTGAAATTTTTTAGTGAGCTCCTAAAATAGCTTTCTTATGTTTTTAGCTAAATTTTAGCTAAGAAATAGAGAGCATCATTGTGGATGCTCTTAGAGCATTTATAATGGATTTTCTAAACCACCTCATCAGATAAAATTTAGATAGTGAGAAAACCCACCTCTAACCACGCTTTCTATCCAACTCCTAAAATAGAAAGACCTCTAGAAGCTCTTAAAGTTTTGGTGAGAGAAATGGCTCCCAGTGGCTCCCTAAAATTTAATGTTGCTTTATTTTATGAGTACTGTAAACCTTTAATTAATGCTAACTATTTTTTAAAATATATTTTTTATATAGATGAACCAATTAAAAAAGAGTAAATGAATCCCTAAACTAGAGAGTATGATTGGAGTTAAAATTTCATGGAAAGCTCCTAAAATAGTTTTTGTATATTTTTAGCTAAATTTTAACTTAAAAATAGAGAGCATGATTGTAACTTGTTTTAAATACCAATTTTGATCACATTTTGTCACCAAATGCTAATTGTCAAATCTCACCAATTCAAGACAAAATGACTCTTTAGGCTAATAGGAAGGCGATCATGAAACAGGGGTTATTAGTTAAGAAGTTATTCTGATGGATGTTCAAATATGAATCTGTTGTTTAACAATTAGATTAGTTATGAACAACTGAAAATCATAACTGATATCAGAATTCTACCAAAATCACTTGAAATTGCCAAAAATAGAATGGAAAGACGGTAAAAGTACGCATGAGAAGTTAATGGCAAGACAATACAGATCTCTTCAAATTTCATGTGAATGTTTACCACAAACAGAATGGATTATCCAAACAACTCAATCTCCTAGTTGACCACATAACAAACCAACCCATCTTCACAACCACAAATGTTGATGTTACAGCAACTATACACACAAAAATACAAGTTTCAAATGAAGCACATTGCAATACATGACAGGCAAGAAAAATCAGGCAACACACAATTAGCTCAGGCAGTGTTTCATCACGGCCCATGTCTTCATTCTCTTCTTGAGAAATTTTCACTAATATACATGCATTCATCGAGATGCCAGTGACCAGAAATTCAAGAGAAAAGATGGTAATGCGGTGAACCAGGATATGAAGGCCATGGCTGTAGCTGTTTCAAACTGTGCACAATGGTTGTGGGCACAGCTATCAAGATCATTGTCTATAAGAACTGTGATCCCTGCGGAAGCACAAGCTGCAGCAAACGTAAGAGTGGATGTCATCTGCAGCAGAAAATGGTAGATCGTTTCAGCCACAGCTCATAACTACATGCTCAAATATAAACTGTGCAGAATGCAAGCAAAAGGGAGGAAAAATGTTGAAAACAACACCAATAACTGGAATATCTAGAGCAAGTTTGGGGATTGCATTAAATATATTTCAGCATTTATTGTGCATGGTATCACTACAGGAATGAACTTGATAAAGAGGATTTTCCTTAGAAGGGAAAGCCTTTCCTACCAAGTATGTTGGGGCTTCTAACTTTGGTTACAATGCTTCCATAATTAAAATATAAGGATTATTTTCCTTAGTTTGCAATAAAAACATCCTAAAGTGACTTAGGAATAGGAGGTTCATTTCCACAAATCAAAGCAGGACCATGCTAATTAGGCAAAGCACTTCCTACCACCCAGGTTACCATAAACACGCGGCTCGAACTAAGGATAGAGTGAAACCAGTTTTGTTCCCAAAACAAATGCAAAGTTGTCAGCCACTCCATTTAGACTCAGAATCAGATCCATTATGCTTTTGCATTATTAGTGGTTAGCAAGGAATTGGACAGCATCAATTAGATTCAATATTACTGATTATAAAAAAGGCTATACATCTTGTAAAGAAGGCTATAACTTTTTGGCCATTTAGAAGTAAATTTGACAATGAGATCTTGATGAACACTAGAAAATGCTTCATTCTGAATGTAGACAGTAGAAACCAAACAAAAACAAGCAAGACCCACATTCCCAAATGGTTGAAAACAATGAAATCTGCTCAAAATCATATCGAATTACAACTAATCTTCATTATTACCCCATCACCAAGGGTGAACAAGCACACAACTCGATGGTTCTGCAAAGTCCGCCTAACTAGAAGGGCATAAACGTCAACAATGGCCAACGAGCAGCTCCACAAACACTGCAATCCAGCAGCTGCAACAAGGTAGCTGAAATGCACACATAACAGAAGAAGAAACCCAAAAATAGAAAAACCCAACTGTTACTAACCACATTGAAATCAAAATAATTAAACCATCAAAAAGACAATAAAGCTGAAAATAGCATATGGGTTGGTTGAATGTGGCGCGACCCACCAAAAGGCTGTGACTGAGGGGAAATCAGAGGTGGTGGTCATGACTACAAGCGCGGCGGCGGAGAAGAAGAGCTGGGAGAGGCGCAAGGCAAGGCCGCCGTGGGTGCCGGGCATGCCCGGAAGGTCCTTCATTCGAACCCGGAGCGGGTGGGGAACGGCGCCGTCTGTAGTGGGTACATCTTCAACTGGGTGAACCGATCCATGGCTCACGTTCATTTCCTCCTGGTTCGGTCTTCAATTGTTCAAAACCATGAAACAGTCATTGATTAGTCAACGATCGTCTTCTGGGATCTGGTGGGGTGAGAGTAGAAACTTGTGGGTAAAGCAGCGTGAAAGGAAGATGGAGAAACTGGAGAGAGGAGATCAAATGGGTTTATTCATCTCAGGAGTTTTTGAGTTTGTGAGTGGTTTGGGTTAATGACATGACTGGTGGATCCATCCAATGAGATTTGGACATTTTCGCTGTTTTCCTTTTTGTAGTTGTTGTAGTAGTTGTTGCTTCTTGTTATTGTTTACTTCCTTCCTCTTTGGAATTGGTTCATCGGCTTAGGGTAGTCAAATAAGATTTTGACAGTTTCACCACTAGTCTAGAGATGGGATATACTTCCCGTCTTACCCTGTGTGCTAGAATACTTTCCGAGTTCGAATTTCCACTCCTGTGTCCCAAAAAATAAAACAAAAAGAATTTACTTTACTCAACCTAGGTAGGCGGTTCTACTCGATGAAAGAATCTTTAAAATTTAGAAAACTATATAAAACCCCCCAAATTATAGGGTTATTTTCAAGTTCATACTCAATTTTTGAGACATTTATGAGTACATACTCAAATTTCTAGAAACCCTACAAATTGCCCTCTCTATTATCTATACCGTTAGTGAATCTATTAAATGTTGATGTGGCAAATGGTATGAAACCCATATTTCCCGTATTTGAACCCTGAGTTTAGATAAATTTTGGACACCCAAGCTCAGAAACATTAACAATCAAATTGGACTGCAAGTGAAAGAGGAACTTTTCTATTTTAATTTCCATTTTGGATTTCGAATTTTTATGTTTTCCCAGCAAACCAAAACAGCAAACGCCATGGGCCATCCAAATCCGTGGATCCAAACAGAATGGAAGCCAAGCGCTTGCTCGGAATCGCCTAGAAGCTTCTACACCCGAGATCTGAGCAGTTGTCACGACTTCGCAATTCTGGCTTAGGAGATCAAGCAACTGTTGGATGGCTCAAATCAGATCTTGGCCGTCTCCAACGTGCTTTTGACCGCCGACAAGCGTATAAACAACCACCTCAACTGGTATACAGTTCTCTAGGTCAAAAGCTCATGGCGGCTGGAGATGGTTATGGGTCGGGAGGAGAGATGTCGCATTCGCCAAATTTCATCTTCATCGCCAAATTGCCGCAATCTTCATTGCCAAACCTAAAACTAGTTATTCGTTATTTTCTTATTGATTATTAGTGTGTTAAAGTTTTCTAAGAATCAATTAGAAAATGACAAGTGGCTAGTTTTGGATGTTTCTCTCCAAATAAACTCTATATGAGTTTTTGTATAATATATCATATTAAAATGAGCGTATTTATAAAACCTATTTTTCTTATAGTTGTCAATACATTTTTTCTCAAAATCAATATATATATTTTTAATATAATATTTGTAAGAGGCTTTTTCGTTCCAACAGCTACAGATGGGTCTGGGCTGCTGTAAAGAGCAAATGACTGGAATTGTCCCTTGTGTCTGAGTTCAAGAATCAGACCTCAAAGGTGCTTCGAAAGGTTCGTGGAGCCTTAGGAAACACCTTGGCTTCCTTCACCAACAAAACCAACAATTGCTTACAGATAAATATTATGGCTTGGCATGAGAAGCTTGTGGCATGAGAGCTGAGCATTCATGAGTTTAGCATGAGAGAGAGAAGGCTTGGGTTTCCTATGAGAAACAGAGGTTCAGAGTAGGGGAAAAGATAGTTTTTGGGAGAATTTGTTGAAGGGAAAGAGGAAGAGATGAGGGAAGAAGAATGAGTGGCTTGAGCAAGTTTCCAGCAGCTTGACGAAAATTTCGTCAAGCTCTTGAGTGACTTGACAGAAGAGAAAAAGGGAAACAATAGAAGTCGTTAAGCTCTTGAGTGACTTGACAGAGGAGAAAAAGGGAAACAATGGAAGAGCATGGCTTGAAATTGAAGGGTTCCAGAGGAGAGAGGTGATGCTTACTTTCTCTGGATGTGTTTATTGGAAAGAGAGGAAGAAGATAGAAGCATAGGTGGCTTTAACAGATTTTTAGCAGCTTGATGAAAGTTTCGTCAAGCTCTTAGGTTGCTTGACAAAAGAGAAAATGGGAATAAATGGAGGAATATGGCTCGAAATTGAAGTGTTCCAGGGATGAGAGGTGATGCTTGTTCTCTTTGAATGTGGGTTTTGGGAGAGAGAGGAATAAGATGGAAGAACAAAGCATGAAATTGAAGGGTTCCAGAGGGGATGCTTGCCTTTAATCCGTTATCTTTGCTGGGTAGAAAATGCCTCCTTTTATAGGCGCTGGAACACTTAATTTTATCAAGCCACCTTCTCTCTTTTTCCTTCACTTTCTTTAATTCCATCTTAGTTGGTGAAACTTTCCTAGCATGAGCATGTAGGCAAGAAGCTTTTTGAAGTTCCAAGACCTTCACGCAACTGGACTTCTCCATGTGGGTGATGCGCTACTCACTTTTCCTTATTGTTTTCTTACCAAAGCTTGCAGATGAAAGAATGGGTAAGGGTGTTGGTCAAAAGGTGATTTACTTCCATCAGTACATGAGTTTGCTTGGTTTTGGTTGTTTGGCTTCGATTTGGTTTTAACAAAGATGCTGGATATTTTATAATGTGCTGGGCTGAGCTAGTTTGTTTCTAGCGGCTTGTGAGTTCCTTTTGATTTCGTCAAGCTGCTGGAAGCTTTGGCTGATGTGAGATTTTTTCAAGTGTTATGGGCATTTTCTTAAGGTGATGAGTTATTGGGTTTTCTCTCACATGGTTACCCATATGTTCGGGCTCAAGGAATGTGCTTGAGTTTTGGTGCTCCCAAGTAGTCTAAAATTTCCACTCCTTGGACCATCAATGGGCCTCATGAATACTCGTAACCATTCATATCATAACATGCTCAGCAAGCCTCAGACATTCGTGTGACTTGGGCCCACTTAAGCTTGTAGCGTGGCGTGTTGCTTATTTGCTTGGCGTAGCACGTGTGCAAGCGCATATGACGAACTCTTGCGTACCTAAGTTGGGTTTCTTCCCAAGTTAGGTGTCGTATTAGGCTAGAAATATATTTGGGCTCAGCTTTGGATTTTTTGAGCCTCAACAATATTTATGTGTTTTATGTCTTTGTTTTAAATTTCTTTTTTAGTGTAAATTTTTAATCATTTTATGTGTTAGCATTTTAATTATGACTTTTCACAAATAGGTCCCTTCTAACATGCTCACGTAACCATTTGAAGCTTATGTCTTTAGTGGGGGTTACTATAACCTACCATGCAACCCACCGCATGTAACCATACATACCCAGTCGATGTAAATTGTAATTACCCTTTGTCGCACCGCCTCACTCTTTCAATTCTTAGTCGAAGCCCACCTTCCAGTGATTCTTCGTGCGCCGCTGCCGCCGTTCTCAGGTAAACTCATCGACCCTTTCTCAGTTCAGTATTTATTGAATATTATTGTTTACTCTGTGAATCTTTGAGGAAAAATGAGAAGGCTTTCATTAGCCTTAGCCAAAATCATGGACTGGGTCTAGCCCATATGAAATAAAATGCTTGCAATTTCATAGCTTTCTGCAAATTTCCCTCGGAAACCACAGTTTTTTGAATTGGCTCCAGGCCTAGTTGAACTTTGAAAGTTAGCAGTAATTCAATGGGCCTTGTTTACTTGCTTGTGGGAATGATGTGAATATGTTTGTTAATTTTCTTGTTTGAGTGATACAAGTCATGGCATGGCAGAGGGTTACATTAACTGTTACTGTAATTCTTCTAGCTAAAGTGAAATGTTTTTTATGCCCAGGAAAGAAAATTGTTGTGAAAGATGATAGTTTGTTATGTCATAGAAAAGCTATGTTACTAGTATGCTCTTGTCGTAGGTTTCGAATCCTACTTGGGAATTCAGAATGAAAGGGTACGCTTTGACTGTTAAGAGTAGGTAACCCCTTCCATGTGTCTTTGTTTCTATTGCATTCTAGCTCATCATATCACATTCTATTATGTGATATTTGAGTGTCACTCTCAGTACCTCGGCTTAGGTCCGCGATAATCCTTTGTTCCACAGTCTGGGGCCATTTACAACTTTCCAATTAAGAATTTTTAGATGTACTAGCAAGTGTTAGATTTTGACATACATAGATTGTATAGACAATGAGGTATAATGCAACGGAAGTATGAAAACTTGTTAAAGGTCGTTATGACCTGGTAATGCAGTCTTCAACCTTAATGAAAGTACTGTGAATCAATAATAAAACTTTGGCGTTTATTGTCCTGAAATAAATTCTTGGTTTCACCTATGTTTTCTTGGCCCTTTTTTAACAGGCAATGCTCCTCTCTCTTCAGCTGATATCTTTGTTAATTTTAGGGTACGCATTTATGGTTTCAAGCATGTTGCTGATTAGTTTTAGTTTGATTTATTGTGAGAAGAAGAAAATGACATTAGGACTAATTCTAGGGCTAGGAAGGGCATTTCGTCGAAAGCGCACATCATCGCTTGACATTCTTTCCTCCAAACGTGCCCCAAGGGACTACTACAAGGGGAAGAATTGCAAGCCCATTGGTTTCCACACTAGAAAAGGTTTGCCTAATTTCCCTTTTTGCAAACTTGAAAAGGTGCTCGTTCAATTTTTAAGGGTAAGAATTATTACTTGACATGTTATCCAAATTGCCCAAAACTTTTGCAGCTAAGTATGTCGTGCAGCAGGAGAAATTACCTAACTATGTAGTCCCCGATTTAATCGACTTCAAGGTGAGCATGTTTCTTTTTTTTATTTGGTTTCTTTAATTGTATTTATCATTTATAGTTTTTATCTGTAAATGAGTGTTTCCAATTGGAAATTCATAGCTGAACTTTGCAGCTCTTACTTCAATACTTGCGTAATTCTAAATTGTTTTTCCCCTTCTTGCTTGCAGCTCAAACCGTATGTATCTCAGTGCCCAAGAGATGTCAAGACTAGTGAGTTTGCCGGATCAACTAAATAAGCATACGGAGTGACAAGCATTTGATTTGTTTGTTTATTGTTTTAATCGTGAATTAGGTCAATATCTTGTTTGGCAGGTTCATGCCTTGGACTTGTTCAAATAATGAACCTTTCTTCTTGGTTGAAGCATTGCTTTATTTTATTTTTCTGGTCAACTGCACCAGATTATTTAGAAGCAAGAGAAGGAGGCAGAAAATTGCCGTATAATATGTAATTGTGGCAAAAATTATGATTTGGTATTTGCTAAACACAAAAATTTAATTAAGGAACTAATGCCAAGGGCAAGCAAGTCTTACGAAATCTTTGGTTTACTTTGAAGTAAATTTAGTTTTTGGGTTTGACTCCTAGCACCAAAATATTTTTAAAAAAAAGTTTGTTTTACCGTTTTATTTATTGAGTTTTTCTATTTAAATCCCACATTTTTCTTTGTTTACCCTAATACTTAAATCATTAAGCTCTTAAGTTTTATTATTGTTTAAAAAGACAAAAAAGGTCATCCAACTTATTATGAATGATATCTAGTTGCAAACCATAGCTGCTTAAATAAGAATATGTCAATTGAAGGCTATGATAACCTAGGAAAATAGCTTTAATTGGTTTCACATTAAGTAAAGCCTCCAAACCAGACTTGAAATCTAAGTGTTTGATATCTAGTTGCAAACCATAGCTGCTTAAATAAGAATATGTCAATTGAAGGCTACAATCATATTGTAGACATATCTATGGCTAAAATTTCTTTTAATATGCTAGTTTGTTTGATAATGGTAACTTACATATTAATTTAATTGTCAACATTTCTCTATCAAAACCTCACAGTTTATTCTAAATTTTTTAATAATAGTACTACACATTTGACAACAATATTTTTTATCTCTTTAAATAATATGAGGTTGAGGTGAACTTAGAGTGGTGAGGAGCAATAAAGCAGGGTGTGGGGTGTGAGGTTGATGAGTTTTTTATTTTATTTTTTCTGTTGGGTGCGTATTTAGGGGTAGTTTGGGAAGATAATGAGTTTTTTTTATAGAAATTGTGAAAATTTGAATTAGATGTTGGGATGAACTTAGAATATAAGATGAAATAGAGAAGTGTGGAGTTTAAATAGAAAAACTCTATTTATTTCTCCATCAGTGTGGAAGAAAAATAAATTTGAAAGACTTCTTGGGAGAGAAACATATGGGAAGCATAACTTTTAACAAACCAAAGGAGCTAGTGGGTATAACTTTTAGTTGGTTGAGCTCTTCCACTTTTATTCATGTGGGTAGAGGTTCGAAATCCCCAAGCACCCAATGAATATTTGTGTAAATTCCCCTCCTCAAATTGCTTGTGCTAAAAAAACAAACCAAATGAATTTAAGATTTTAAAATATCAATAGATATATCAATTACTAAGAATTTTTTTTTATAATTGTCTAATTTTTAATGACAAATTTAATCATAAGGACATTTTAATACATATATATATATATATATATCCACTTTAACTAAAAGTAAGAAGAATAACAGAATATAACAAACATGTCTCACTAGATCTATAGTATAAAATCAATGTATATATTTTATGCATCTAGAAAATCTAGAAAAGCTCATGTGATTTCACGCAAGTAGCTCAAGAGAAAATGTTCTTTGAAACATAGGACTAGTTTGGGAATGATTCTAGATAGTTCAGAATCACTCATGGAAAGAAATACCTCCCATGTGCTTCTCCATATAATCATTTTAAGGGCTCGTTTGGGAGTGATTATAGGCCAAAAAGCACTTATGTGAAGAATCACTTCTTTATACAATCACTTTAAGTGGTTTTAAGTGATTTTATGGAGAAACACATGGAAGGTGCTTCTCCCCATAATCACTTATTAAAATCACTTATGCTTCGTTTGGTTCATGGAACAAATTTGAGGATGAATCACTTCCCATGCCATTTCCCAAGGGATGAGAAATGGAGATTCATTTCCCATGTTTGGTAATCTTGGGAAAGTAACCAAGAAATACCACTTTATTTCATTTCATATGTTTGGTTTGTGTAGGAATGTAAAACAAAGTTTGTTTAATTTTCCAAATATACTCAAATGAAATCAAATAAAAAAAGAATGCATTTAATGTTATATTGTAATTCTAAATTGTTAATGGGTACAATATGGTCATGAAAAATGTATATTTAATGTTGGCTCATTTTCCCAAACTTTCCAATGAGGTGGAAAACAAAACCCAAGGGGGGAGGAGAGCTTCACTTTCTCTCCTACTTTCCCATGTGCAAGACAACTATTTCCCATGCCTAGACTTACCAAACATGGGAAAATAGTTGATTTCTCATCCCCAAGTCTCCTTTCCCATGAACCAAATGGGGTCTTAAAGTGATTATATATGGAGAAAGCATATAGGGGTGATTTTCCTCATAAGTGATTTTGGCTTATCCGAAATCACTCCCAGAAGAGCCCTAAGGGTCCCGTTTGGTTCACGAAACGGATTTGAGGGGAAATCACTTCCCATGTCATTTCCCAAGGGATGAGAAATGAAAGATTTCTTTCCCACGTTTGGTAATGCCGGGAAAGTAAATGGGAGATTTCACTATATTTACTCTCCCATGTTTGTTCTGAGTAGGAATGGGAAACAAAGTTCATATAATTTTCCAATTATACCCATATTAAATCAAATAAAAAAGAATGCATTTAATGATACATTGTAATTCTAAATTGTTAATAGGGACAAAATGGTCATGAAAAATATGCATTGAATGTTTGCTCATTTTCCCAAACTTTCCCACGAGGAGGGAAAACAAAACCCAAGTTAAGAGAAGGGCTTCACTTTCCCATGTGCTAGACAACCATTTCTCATGCATGGACTTACTAAACATGGGAAAGCAATTGATTTCTCATCCCCAAGCCTCATTTCCCATGAACCAAAATCGGACCTAAGTGATTTTAAGTGATTTTGGGGAGAAACACGTAGGAGGTGATTCTCCATAAAATCACCAAAAACCACTTTTTTTTTTTAATAGAAAAGATTATAGAATCACTTTTAACAAACCACTTTTAACAAACCAAAGGAGCTAGTGACTATATGGAGAATCACTTTTTTATTTATTTATTTATTTTTTATAAAAAAGATTATGGGTATTTTTAAAATCACTTCCAAATGAGCCCGTTTGTGCATATATTTTGGTAGATATTGGTTAGTTAATTTTCTCATAGTTCATGGATCAAAATGAAATATTTTAGTATGGTGGAGTAGTTGTGCTGTGATTTTGTGCTTTAATGTCCAGTTTTTGTAAGAGGGGAAAAAGGCCACACACCCTAAGGTCAGCCACTAAAATCAAATATCACAATCATACAACACCAACACTATGTAGATTGCATTATTTTATACACATAAAAAGTGTCACACATTTCATGCATGCATCAATCATCATATTTCTTTAATTCAAATTGATTTTTTATTTTTTATTTTGTCATTAATCTAATGATTTTACCTTGAGGGAAAATCAAAGTAATTCATGAATCATCATAACATGTACCACTTGAAAAAGTAAAAAAAGAAAAGAAAAGAAAAATGTTAATTTCACCTTATTTGTAGTTTTGTGCTCCTCTCTCTCTCTCTCTCTCTCTCTCTCTTCATCAGCATTCAGCAATTAGCCAAATAAGCCAACAAGCCGATTACCCTTTTTGCTCTCACAGCTTATTATTTTTTTGGGGGCTCATTTTCTGTCTCTCGATCTTCACGGCCTTTGCTCCCTCCTCCTCACCTCATCGATCTCTCAAAAGAAAACTAGGGTTTCGACTTTCGAGCTTCAAAGCCACCGACCTCCCCGCCCCTGCTCTCAAATCCCCTCCTCTCGGCTTTGTCTCTGAAGAGGCCCTAGATTTTCTGCTGCTTCTTCTAGGGTTTACAGATCTAAGACAGCTCTTACTTCCCAGCTCTGCTTTCTCCTTCTTCACCATGTTTTGGAAGCTCACTGCTCTCTCTGCCTCCTCGCCTGTAACTCTCTATCTTTCTCAATCTCTTTCATTTTAAAACCTAGTATTAGCTTCTTATTTTGAAATTTACTGGTCTTCTGTTTGATCAATTTGCTGCTTATTCAGAAGTTTAATTGCTAATTATTTTTGTTTATGTTTCATCTCTAGCTGAGGGGCGTTTAATTTTTTTGTCTTATTGCAATTTACTTTTGACTGATCGGACTTAGCTGTATTAGTTTTCGAAATTGAATGAACAACTGGTTTTAGTAAGCAGTATTTTCCAGGATTTGTTTTTTTACTTTACAAGTGCCGTCTTTTATTAATCTAATTGTGATTAAAGTAGGTGAGCTCAAATTTTCTAAATTTGGGATATGTGGTTACCCTCTTCTTGGTTGCTGAGAGAACTTAAGGATATGTGATTACCCTCTGTTTGGTTGCTGAGAAAACTTAAGCATATGTGATTACCCTCTGGTTGGTTGCTGAGAAAACTTAAGGATATGTGGTTACCCTCTATTTGGTTGCTGCTCACTGTAGCAGCTTCTAGTTCCTATGTACTGCGTTTTATTATTTTCTTTACGAGGGGTACTGCCTTTTAATATTTGGCCAGCTATAAACATGAGTAACAGTGTTCGACTGTTGTAGTTTCAAGTAACACAGGTTTCTTAGCTTACTACTGCAGGATTTTTATTCTTATGCCCGCTAATTGTTATTGTTGGTTTCTCTTCTGCTTGTTCTCCTTTACAGGTGGAGTCGGTGCTAGACAAGGACAATTTTACACTGGATGAGCTTCTGGATGAAGAAGAAATTATCCAAGAATGCAAAGCTTTAAACACTCGTCTCATTAATTTGTAATGTCTCGTTGTTTTCCTCTGTAGGGCTTGTACTGTTCCGCATATTATCAACTTCCCTATTGTATATATTATAAGTCAATACCAGAATTTGTTCTTTTTCCTTACAATTGTCTTGAATTTGTGAAGAAATGAATTGTACATGATATCTTGTATAATATGGAACTTGATTGTGGATGATACATTGATACCCTTGTGTAAGTTTTTGTTTTCAGTTTAAGGGATAGAGCCCAGGTGGAGCAATTATTGCGTTATATTGTTGAAGAACCTCCTGAGGATGCTGAAAGCAAACGAGCCTTCAAGTATTGTTCCATCTTGACAAAGATTTACTTTTGACTTTTTTTTTACACTTACATTCTAATGTTCAAACTCCAAACCTTTTTGGATTTTTATTTTTGTTGGTCTTGCTTCTGATTATTTGAGTAAACCTGTTTCATGATTTAGGTTCCCTTTCATTGCTTGTGAGGTTTTTACATGTGAAATTGATGTTATTTTGAAGACTTTGGTGGATGAAGAGGAGGTAATCATGACCCCATGCTATATTTGAATGAGGAAGTTGATGTATAAAATCTTGTTTAGTATTGATAAATGCTTATTGTGTGCTTGCAGCTAATGAACTTACTTTTCTCCTTCTTGGAACCAAATCGTCCTCATAGTGCCCTGCTTGCTGGGTATTTTAGCAAGGTATTTTTTTTATGATACTGGTAACCTTTTGTCCTACTTGCTCGTCTCAAAACAGGTGTCTTGATCCACTTTTTTTTTTTGGCAACTTTAGGTGGTTGTATGCCTTATGATACGAAAGACAGTCCCACTTATGAATTATGTTCAAGTAAGTAACTTTTTAACCTCATCTTTATATTGTATAATTTTAAGTTTCTGCCAATTTTTTTTAAATTTTTTTATATCAATTGCATGAATGCATGACCAGATACTTGGACCTATTGCCTCTTTCCATTGCCAGCTTTAGCATCTATAACCCACATTTATTTGATTGCCATGGTTACCTTTGTTTGTTGGGCCTAATTCCGTTGTAGAAACTCCCAGTAGAAGTGAGAGTTTGTTGCTGAAAGTTTAAATCCATATTATCTTTCCAGCCAACCGTGACCCTTGATGCCAAAATTTGTGTTGTTCCGGCATTAATTATTCTTTAATAAAACACCAGCATATTCTGACAATTTAGCTCTTGAAGTAAATCAAGATTTAAAAAAAAAACACGGAGATTATGCCTAGTGGTTTGGAATATTCTCTGTGTTTGAAGTAATTCCTAATGTTTGGTCGTGTTTAATATCTGAAAGTTCTATTCTTCTTACACACAATTTGGAATTGGGCTGTGCCAAAAATGAGCTACTTGCCTATGACAATCCTTCCATTGGCTGTTGTTTTAGAAAAAAATTTCAAGGCCACTGTTTTAGCTGAGAAATATAGGTGTTATCCCGAAATCCATCTTTTGTTTATTCATGTAAATGTTGTTGATTACTATCGTTGTTGTTTACAGGCCCATCAGGATGTTTTCCGCCAGTTAGTTGATTTGATAGGAATTACATCCATCATGGAGGTAATTAAGAATAAAATTTTCAGAATCAAGTTCAAAGTTTTTCAGATGCTTGTTTGTAGTTCAATCTGAGGTGTTTTCATGGTACAGGTTTTGGTTCGACTTGTTGGTGCGGATGACCACGTGTATCCCAATTTTATAGATGTGATGCAATGGTTAGCTGAAAGTAATCTGCTAGAAATGATCGTAGATAAATTGAGCCCTTCTGTAAGTTGGAAGATTATACTCTTGTTTATCAGTATAATTTTTTCTTTCAGCCATTCTACATATTTATGGAACATATTTGTTTAATGAATACTTAGTTATGCACTTGTAGCATCCATAGCCATTATGCATATCCCAGGTTACATTTTGTTTTCTTTTGTCATTCTGGTCACAGTACCTTAGAGAAACCATATATGTTAACTAAATAACCTAATGGAGATTTTTTATTATTTGAATGCTCATATGTCTTGTGTATGTCCACTTTTGAGGTGGATTTCCTCTGTGCACTTCTTTAGATGTTACATAAAGGTGCAGCCTCTTGGATCCAGAAACCATAGTTGAACAGAGAATTGGGAAGTGTTGCATACTTTGTCACCTTAACTGTATGCCTATGGCCTTTCTAGCTGGAGTTCTAAATGATTTTTATTGTTTTTGGTAAGAATTGATAATGAAAGCGAGACTACTGTGATAGACTTTTAAATAATTAAATGGAGAATATACTAAATGGTAACTCATAAATGTTCATCAGGTTAAGAAGTTTGGAACAAATGTTAAATAACTTAGCTAATTAGCAGCCCTGGTGCATATTGTACATCTAACAACTTCCTTTTACTTTTGGATCAGAATTCTCCTGAAGTTCATGCTAATGCAGCTGAGACACTTTCTGCTATAACTCGAAATGCCCCATCAGCCCTAGCCAACAAACTTTCTAGTCCAAGGTTTGTAATCGGAGCACTTTTTGGTTGGTTTTGAGTTATTACGTTTCTATATATTCTTTATGGGCAATGGTTTTGAGTTCTTAAATAATTCATATGCAGTTTCGTTGCAAGGATATTTGGTCATGCACTGGAAGATTCACATTCGAAGTCTAGTCTTGTAAACTCGCTTTCTGTTTGTATCTCTTTGTTGGATCCGAAAAGATCAGCAGTTTCTTCTCCCTTGTTCCATTCTTTTCGGAGTCAACACATGTACGAGTCTCCAATCCCTGTTAATCCAGACACTGTCAGTGCAATGCTGCCAAAACTCGGTGAGTGCAATTATATCTTGCCATGATTTTTTCCAACAACGGAAATTTACATTTCTGTAGCTGCATAGCATGTAAAACTAATGTTTTTTTTGGTCTATTTCATTCAGCTTACATCATTGTTTCAGTTTTTCAATTACATTTTCCAACAACAATTTGGAATCATGCTGCTTTCTGCTTGTAAATTTTCAATGTAACATGGCCTTTTGTAGCTACTTGAAAGTAGGAAGGGGATAGTGTAGGTCCATGAAAGGTAGAGGTAAACTGATTGAACCTCAGAGCGGACAAAGCTTTGGCTTATGACGAGGCTCATATAATAAGGTGAAAAATATTGCCATGTCCGGGGAGTGATATATCATATTTGAACAAAATCTGAGGGCTATTAGGATTAATCAGCAGAGTGCTACTTTTTCTCTGTCATTGTTGCAAGTCTTGCGTTATATTTGAACAAAATCTGAGGGCTATTAGGATTAATCAGCGGAGTGATACTTTTTCTCTGTCATTGTTGCAAGTCTTGCGTTATATTTGAACAAAATCTGAGGGCTATTAGGATTAATCAGCGGAGTGATACTTTTTCTCTGTCATTGTTGCAAGTCTTGCGTTATATTACAGCTGCCTTAAAAGGAACAGAAGAGTTGTTTCTTCAGTATGATTTCAAGATTTAAAGTTTGGTTGTCCAGGTGACTTGCTTATGCTTTTGAATGTGTCAACGGATGAGAAAACACTGCCAACAACATACGGAGAGTTGAGGCCTCCACTTGGAAAGTATCGTTTAAAGGTTTTTTTTTTTTTTTTTTTTTTTTTTTTTTCTTTGTGTGTGAGAGTTTATTCTCCGTTTTTACCTCGATTGGAGTTAAGACTAGCATTCTGGCTGTTGTTAACGTTATAAATTGTTGACAAATTTCAGAATTCAATTCGGTGCTGGTAGAAATTATTTTTTTATTTATAAGAAATTATGTGTAAATTACTTTTCCACTCTAGATCACAGAAAGCGAAAATTGTTAATTATTGGATATTAGAACTGACAGTGTCAATTGCCATTTTAACTGTTCTGCAATTTATTTCAGATTGTGGAGTTCATTGCTGTTCTATTGAGATCGGGTAATGAAGATGCAGAAAAGGAATTGGTTAGCTCGGGAACCATCCAACGGATCATTGATCTTTTCTTTGAGTAAGCTGTTGCTTCAATTTATTTTATTTTATTTTGAGATAGTTATTGGATATCTAGATTCCTCTCTATCTCTCTCTCTCTCTCTCTCTCTCCCCCCTGAGGATAGCTTGCCAAGAGACATGTTCTTCTCTTTTGTTACATTGAATGATTTACCTGTTCATAGTAACTTAATGGGTTGATCTAATTAATGCAGGTACCCCTACAATAACTCATTGCACCATCATGTAGATAGTATCATATCGTCATGTTTGGAAAGCAAGAGTGATGCTATTGTTGATCATCTCCTTCGAGAGTGTGATTTGATTGGGAAGTTTCTCCAAACAGATAAACATCCTCTTCTAACTAGTGATACTAGCAAGGTAGAGAGATTCAGTAACTGGATAAATGAATGCTTGAATGTGGGCTACTTCTTAAATTTCTGACTGTTGTGGCCAAACATTAAATGCTCAACATGCTAGATATTGTTTATAATGCCTTTAATTTCCTTGTTGGATGAGGTGTAATGTAATAGAAAATAGAGCATGCTTAACCTTAAATGGAGTTTGGATTTGTGCAATAGCATGTAGTTATATATATTGATGATTACCTATACTCAGCTTTTGATTTTATTTCATGCTCTGATAATTTGAATTTTCCCTTGTTATGTAGCCAACGGTACCTGCTGCTGGTAAATCGGCACCACGGGCAGGAAACCTGGGACACATTACACGAATTTCTAATAAGCTCATTCAGTTGGGAAACAGCCAAAGCCGTGTTAAGGCATGCCTTCAGGTAGGTTTCAGGTTTAAACTTTGAATTGCTATAAGCATACATAAATTATCACAACTTCTCAAAATTGTGATTTTAACAATGATCGTATCTGATCTTTTGTAACTGTTATATTAACCTTCTCTAATTTTCTCACCTTTACCTCTCTATTATTGGCAAAACTATGAACATTAGTGCTACTTGAGTGGGATGTTAGTCTTCTTAGTGCCTAATATTTATCTTTAAAATTCTTTGTAAAAGAACATTGCTTTGCTTGATCTCTAGGAACATAGCGAATGGAATGAGTGGCAGACTACAGTTTTGCAGGAGCGCAACGCAGTTGAAAATGTTTATCGATGGGCTTGTGGGTATGCTGTTGTGCCATATATCTGCTTTGCAATGCACATTTGTCAAGTATGATTAGGGGCCATTATGAATAAATTACTGTGTTCTGGTTTATATAGCACTCAATCCAAAGTAATGAATTTAACGGTTGGGTTTAAAATAAGGTGTTAAAGATACCTACTGTGACGGTGCGTTTTGCTTCTTTTAGGGACAACTGGTTGTCAAGCCTTATTAAAACGGTCAACTTAGTTAACCATTCTATACATTGATTTTTTTAGTTGGATTTGATCTTCAACTTCTGTTTTGTTTCTCCTTATTATGCACAGCCGCCCAACTGCTTTGCAAGACAGGACGAGGGATAGTGATGACGACGACATGAATGACAGAGATTATGATGTAGCAGCTTTAGCAAATAATCTAAGCCAGGCTTTTAGATACAAAATATATGGGAATGAGGACGCAGGAGAGGTATCTAGCTGGGTGCATTGTATTTATTAGTTTCAGCTTTTTGTCCTTTTTAATTCTCCTGGGGGGGAAGGGGATAGAATAGCTTCGCCTGGGAAATTCATCTCCTTACTCTTGTTTTTGGTTCCTCCATTTGTTATTGTTGGATGAATGTTTTGAATTCTTTGCATTGCAGGACCATGGAACTCTAGATCGAGATGACGAGGTAATTAGTTTGGTCATTTCTACCACTGATGTCTTTCCGTAGTTTCATGTATTGAGCTTGATGGTAACTATTTTATTTTAACATGAATAAGCTCTGGATAAAGCTCTGAGGCAGAAACATGATAAACCATGAAAACATGTTTAACTTTTTTCTTTTTCTTTCTGTAAAAGTAAATATTTGGTTTCATTTCATCCTGATATGAGTTGGTTTGATTTGTAACATACAGGATGTCTACTTTGACGATGAATCTGCTGAAGTAGTCATATCATCCTTGCGGCTTGGTGATGACCAGGGAAGGTGAGTATTTTGGTTTTTATATCAAGGAAAACAAACTCCGTATGCCACCAGTTTAGGTTTAGTGAAAATACATTGTATGCATGGTCTATAATGATTTGCAACATTTTCCGAACTCTGTATAGCCGCTAGTGGCTGGACTTCCCAACCCAAAAACCCAAAATATCCACAAGAAAATGAAAAAAGAGATGTACTAAAACTTTAATTATATACACAGTAATGACAATAATTTAACATGGTACAAGACTCCCACACAATACGGAAAAGGATACCAATTAGTCTCCAGGCTTATAGGTTGAATCTGATTCAATATACTAAATACAGAAGAGATTGACTTTTGTCTATACAATCTGGAAATTCTATATATATATATATATATCAGGCCCCTTCTATTGAGGGACACCCTTTAGGGTCCCTTCGAAACTTTTTTCAATGATCCAAACCATTTATTTTTCACATCTTCATTCAAAGATCATCCTTGCAAACAATCATGCAAATTGAAAATCATTAAGGCATCTAATTGAGACCAACAAATCAATGAACATGGTGCTTCAAGAAAGTACTTCAATTTCAATAATTTAATTGAATGGTCAAATGATATCGGATTCAAGTGATTTTTTGTAGAGATGGTCTTTGAATGAATATCTACAAAATAGAAATACAATTAGGAGTGCTCTCTCTCTCTCTCTCTCTCTCTCTCTCTCTCTCTCTCTCTCTATATATATATATATATATATATGATAAATTTTCATTTGTCAAAGAGTAGTATTTTGTCAAACTATGAATTAGGGTTGATATAGTGTGGAGTCATGTCTGAAGTCACTTTCCCAACTGATAATTTGACCCAAAAAAACATGCAACAGTTTCTGTATATGTGTTCTTGTAGTGCCTGAAATGGTTGGCAATGATTTGTCATGAAATTTCTATCTCTAGTTCTGGCAATGATGTCTTCACAATGTTGTGCATCGTAAGTGTAGCTGTAGAATCAATTATGTAATGGCGATGCTGAATGGTATTAATCCTGAATGCAGCAGTTTATTTACAAATTCCAACTGGTTTGCATTCCAAGATGATAGAATGGGTAATGCACCAGTGGGCACATCAGAGATGGAGGAAGTAAACTTGAATGGGACTGCGAATGGTGGTAATAGCAGTAGTGATGATGAGGTTGTGGTAGGGGAGGATGATGAATTGGCCGGAAGTAAAGACTCTGTCGATGGCACATCCACTTCCAACAAAAACCTTATGAATGGATTTAATGGGAACAGTGGAAACATGATCCCAGATGGTGAGAACGCAAGTGCCTCCCATGATATGGGTGGATTCTTCAGATTTGAGGCAACTGACAATGAGGATTTGTTTGGAGACAGGCCTTTGCCCGAATGGGTGGGATGGAGTGAATCATCAGATTTGCAAGTCGGTGGTGCAAGTATAAATCCATTTGAGGATCATGATGACTCAGATGTCAATCCTTCCAGTCATGCCGAGGTAGTGGCACCTGATGCTAGTTTGCCTTCAAGTGGAGAATTTGCTCTTTCAAATGGCTCTCCCTCCTCCACTGCTTCTACTGCAGGATCGCCGGGTAGTGATGGGAGCCAACGATCAGCTGCAGTGCCATCATTGTTTGAAGAGGATGTTGAATTCGTTGGCGTCGAACTTGAAGGTACTGAGAAGGCTATGGAGCAGGCTCTTAAAGAGGGAATAGTAGGGGAGGCAGGGCCGTTGAAGAAAAACGTTGTGCCAAAGGTGCCAGAAAAGGACAACTCTGACGATGGTGGGCCTGCAAATAAGGAGTTCAATGATGCAAATTATTGGAGGGTTGATCAGGAGGTTGCTGTTTTGGAGTGAATGGTGGGTTGATCCTGCTTTGGCTGTTCAAATCTGAAACTGGGTACAACAGCAGGGGACCCCATTTTCCGGATGGCAGGGTGCCAGCGGCCTATGCAGCAGCAGCGGGAGGTCATATGTACAGTATATTTTTGTTTCGACATGGGATCAGATGGTAGGTTGTGTTATGGTTATTTGCTGTTTACTTATTGTTACTCATTGTTTATTATTTAAGTTTTTTTTTTTAAATCTTTGGTTTCGTTCTGATACTGATAATGGGATTTTCCCAAAATCCAAAATATTTTTAGTTTCGTTTCTGGCTGGAATCATTCTTAATGTGGTATCTTTCATTTGATGAATCTGGACCCGTTACCTATAAATTGGTTAGGTATTGTTATTCTATACATATCGACCGCAGTTTTGATGATCAGTGCAGTGCCTTTTCTCGCTCTTGATATTATTTTTCTTATTAGCAGGCAAAGTGATTGAATATGTTGTCTGCCTTCTGGGTTTGGTGATTCAGAAATTTCACGCATGTGAATTAACATTCATAAACAATTCTGACAGCAACTCTAAAACACCAAAGTAACTTAAGGGTTGTCTACGCACATAAAAGAACGGGTTTTTTTATTTTTCTCTTGGTAGTAAAGATTGTTCAAGGTTAAGGGTAACATTTCAATGTTTAAAAATTAAATCCTGACAAAAACAAAAATTGTTTAAAAATTAGATGCGAATATAAATTGAAAAGAAAAGAAAAAAATTAGACGCACAAATTCAAATGGCTTATATGCTAGTTTAGTCCTTCAGGGGTGTATTGGCCGAATATTTTGGGGAAGCCTGTAACTCTCCCAATCCTTGTGTCGTACTTCTTCTCTGTGTATCTCTCTTATGACATGGCTAATCACGTAATAAAAGAGAGGTTATGAAACAAATTGAAGTTTTTGTCCCAAATTAGAGGGCCCGACTTTATAAATAATAGTAGTGAAGTTTTTTTCTTCCACTTTATGTGTTTACTTATAAGCCTAGTTATTAAAATACAGAACAACAAGTATGAATAAAATACGTACTTGTTTTATTCGGTAAAATTTTGGCAAGATACAACTGAAAAGTGTATATAATATTTTAAATATAATATATTTAAATATAATATGTAAATAATACATGAATTTTGTATGTATTATTCAAAATTTTGTAAACGTGAAAAATATGTACGTATGTATATAATACATGCATTGTGTGTTTGTTTTTTTTTAAATGTGTATTTTATCGAGTCTTTAAAACGTGCACGAAAAATGAAAGTATTATTAAAAATACATTCATACTAATATAATACGAGTATTAAACGAGAAAATGCTAAATTCTTTATACATATAATAATTCTAGAAAAGTAAAAAATCAAAATGGGACAATAGAGACTCGGGTAATGGCCTAATAGTACTAAATAATGCTCTAAACTACTCCTATCTATAAACCAAAAATAGGGATATGTTTTATTTATTTATTTTTTTTTAATTTTTAAAATCCCCAGTATAGCCGCGCGGCTATAATCTAGATTAGTACAGCACGGTATAGCCGCTCGGCTATACTATTTATTAAAATAGTATTTTTCCGTTTAGTAAGAAGAACGGTATGTTGCTCCGTTATCCGATATAACACGTGGCTGCTGTGCTGACGTGAATATGGTATTACAAGTATTTTGCTCAGTCTAAGGCGAAAAGACGAAGATACCCTCAGTTGGACATTGTAGAACGTTCAAGAGAGGCCCAACTCCCTCATATTTCAGTTGTTTAGCGCCTCTGCAACTCCATAGACAACCAATCCAGAGAAACTCGGGATAGGGGTCAGGGGCCTGAGGGCTTGAAACCTTGCAGAAGAAGAAGAAGATGATCGAGGTGGTGCTGAACGACAGGCTGGGAAAGAAGGTTCGGGTGAAATGCAACGAGGACGACACCATAGGCGACCTGAAGAAGCTGGTGGCTGCCCAGACGGGGACCCGAGCGGATAAGATCCGATTCCAAAAGTGGTACAACATTTACAAGGATTACGAAATCCACGACGGCATGGGCCTCGAACTCTACTACAACTGAAACTCATCAATGCAGTTCTACCTACGTACGTACGTCGTCGTTTCTTTTCTTTGCTTAAGGGCGTCGGTGGCAATTAATTAACTAATTATGTCATTGTTAATTGTCATTTTTTGGGTAATTAATTTGATGGCTAATTGTTGTTGGGCAGCAATCAGATATTGCTTGTTCTGTTTTGGCTTTGCAGATTGTGGGTTGTGTTTTTCATTTTATGATATGATCTGCTTCTTCGAGAGATTAAGTGTCAATCATTGACTGTATATGATGCATTGTGTTTTGTGGAAAACATTTTAAGAAATAAATGATTTGATTGCTAAGAAGATAATTCTATATGTCTATGCCTTAGTAAACATGCCATTAGTTTAGAGGGATGTAAGACAATGTGAACGAGTTGAGGAAAGAGTTTGGGGCCTGTATGTTTATGGGCATTGATCGTCAGTATCCTAAACATTTGGACATCGGAAATTTCAAAGCTCTGCATTGTTTCTTACATTGATGATGAGCGTGCTCATCAACATGGTCTAGACAGAGATATGAATTTCTCTTCAAATAGAGGTTTTGTTCAAATAATGTTGATTTGAGCTTATACAAATCATCAACTGCTCATGATATTGTGGACAAATTTAATGCAGTTGTTTCCTGTGTCCACCAGAGTCCAGCTGAGAATATATGTTGTTTGCGACTTCTAGCTTTTGCTCTCATTGTTGGCAAAGACGTGTGAAGTGAAGTGAGGAAAAAAGTATTTATGAATTCCTTGTCTCAAATCTCAACAGATCAACGGGAAAAAGGAGAAGAGAAAACCTTGGCAAACAAGGAAAGACAGAAAGAAATTGCAAAGTTCTGCGTGAATGCAAGAACAGGTTTTCTGTTGTATAGGCGAACCAATTTAATGGGAGGTTGTATTTAATGTTGCAGGTTAGAATTGGGAGTTTACTGATTTTAGATCCCAAAGAAAAGAAGAAAAAAAAGGCATCTTGTGGGTTTCGATGGGAAAATCTGAGTGCATTTGTTCTGTTTTTGTATACTCTCTGGTCTCTTCATGTCTGTGTTCAGTGTAACATCTTGTCTTGTCTTTGCTAATCCGGCCCTTATTTGGTGCTCTTCAATTCTGTCATCTCTCCTCTTTTACCTTCTTTTTCTTTCTATTTGCCGTTTGATTTGAGTGACACAAACTTAACATGAAAACTTGTGTCAGTTGGCATATTATCCTGGTGTTTCATGACACAAACTTAATTGAAGAAAACAACGAAGTAATGTAAACTGCAAAAAGGTTCCATTATGTTTGAATTTGGATGGTGGATGGATCAGATCAGCCGCACTTTTTGTTTTGGACTCAAAATCTGAAGAATCTGAAACCCTGGAGGCTTCCATTACCTGCACCACCGTGCGGAAAAGATAAAAGGATGCGTGCTTTTACCATTATGCTATTATATATTCAAGGTCTCTCATACTTTTTACTTTGTGGGCTCAGTATCATTTCGAAACCTCTATGGGGCTATACATTAGGGCCCCTTTTTTTTTCCCCTCCTCTTCTTTTTCTTCTTTTTATTTATTTATTTTATTTAAGGTCTGATAGGAGGGCCTGCCCTAGGAAAAAAACTTTCTTATAACAGGATAGTATTGTTTTGCTATTCCCAGCTAATAACACAATGACACGTGGAAAATTGATCTTACGTGTTATTGTATTATTAATCGGGAATAACAAAAAATGTAATCCCTGTTGCATGAGGGTTTCTCTCATGCGCTAGGGTATGCCATTTGCAAAGAAAAATTGGCCAATTCGGCCGAACTAGAATGATCGTACCGATTTGGTATGTTCTATTTTTTTGTTGGAATTTCGATGGTAAAGCCGAACATGAATCATGATCAACTCAACAAGTTTCGTTCACGATTTTGAATTTCCGAATCAGAGGTTTAACTAAACTGGATCGGCATGCATTACTTTCCTTTTTTGCTTTGAAAAACTCACATTTTCTACTTGGCATAAGCCTATTAGTTTGGCTCAAAACTTACCATAGTACTCGCACCACATTTTTAAAATTTTAACTTACTAATCTTGTTACCTTTCGTCTCCTTCAATTAGCCACAACCAACATAAATTCTCTTTGTCAAGTCTCTCTTAAAGTCCTCTCTCCTTTCGACATCCATAGATGCTCTCAAGATATTGTTGTCAAATGTCACCATCGTCATCATCATCATCACTAAATCTCGTCATCGTTCTCATTCGAACTCACCAAAATCGACCCGCACTGAACCATTGATTTGGTGAGCTGACTGTGGTCGGTGGACGAGTAATGGGTTGATGTCGGTCCCATATATATTCTTGCACTGACTTAGTCGGTGCAGTGAACGATCTCAACCGACCAAGTCAATGCAAGATTTTTTATTTTTATTTTGGTTCCTATTTTTGTTTCTTTGTTTCTTTGATAGAATATTTATTTTTAATGGAATATATATTAGATTTAATTTGAAACATTAGTTTAGAGCATTTGGATACAAATATTTAATTTTCAACATAATATTTTATAATTAAAATAATTTTTAGAGTGTGATGGAAACATATTTAATACTAAAAAAATTATAAGTGAAAGTGAAAGTTCTTTTCCTTTTATCAAACACTTTAACAGAAAAACCATTTCAACATAATGTCATTTTTAGTCATTATACATAGCTCACAATACTTTCACAAAAAAATTTATTAAACACTTAGAAATTGACTATTGTACCAACGTCACTTTTAACAAAAAAATTTACCAAACATCAAAATGCTTTTTCTCATAGCAAATTTGACAGCGATTATTTATAGAGATATTTAGTAATATACCCATTCTTAGCACTAAAACTATAAATAAACCCTACATCATTTCATTTTTATAAACATACCAAAAAAAAACCCAAAAAATGACAAATGGTACAATTAAATTTAATTTTAATTATTAAATTACTTTGATATCCTATTGAGTGTTTTGGGCTTTTTTATGAAATTTTGGGTTGGGTTTGTTTTAAGAAATCAATGGCAATTTTGTAATTTAAAAGAAGTTAAAAGCCTTTTTGTTATGTTATAAATGGGTTTTGGGTGTGTTTATAAATTCCATTTCATATAGGGTTTTTTTATAATTTGGGCTCCTATATTGGGTATATTAGTGAATCTCCCTTATTTATACAGCACATCAATATCAAATTGGCCCTTAATCAAAGAAGACAATGAAGTAATGTAAACTGCAAAAAGGTTCCATTATGTTTGAATTTTAGATAGTGGATGGATCAGCCTCGCTTTCTGTTTTGGACTGAAAATTTGAAAGCTTCCATTACCTTCACCATCGTGCCGAAAGGATAAAAGGATGCATGGTTATTTAAGGACTCTCATACTTTTGTACTTAGTGGGCTCATTGTCATTTCGAAACCTCTATAGGTCTATACCATACATTCGGGCCCCTTTTTTGTTTCTTTTTTTTTGGGTTTAATAGGGCCTTGCACGAGGAAATTTTGTAATCTTCGATTAATAATATAACGATAAGTGAAAAAATTATCATACGTGTCATTGTGTTATTGGTCGGAGATAGTAAAAAAGTATTATCCCCGTTGCATGAGAGTTTCTCTCCTGTGCTATAGTCCAACATTTGCAACGAAAAATTGGCCAATCCAGCCGAACTAGAGCGATGGTGCCGATTTGGTATGTTCTATTTTTTTGTTGGAATTTCGATGGTAAAGTCAAATAGGATCAACTCAGCCAGTTTTGTTCACGATTTTGAATTTCCAAATCGGTGGTTTAACCAAATTAAACCAGCCTATGTTTACTCTCTTTTTTGCTTTGAAAAACTCACATTTTCCACTCAACACAAGCCTACTACTTCGGCTCAAAACTTACTATAGTCCTCCTCACACCACATTTTTTTCATTTTAACTTATTAATCTTTTTACCTTTCGTCTCCTTCAATTAGTCACAACGAACATAAATTCTCTCTGTCACGTCTCTCTTGAAGTCTTCTCTCCCTTCGTCATCCACAGATACTCTCAAGATCTCGTTGTCATGTCACCATTGTCGTCATCATCGTCACTAAATCTCGTCATCGTTCTCATTCGAACTTAACAAAATTGACCCGCACTGAACCATTGATTTGGTGAGCGGACTGTGGTCGGTGGACAAGTAGTGGGTTGGTGTCGGTCCCATATATATTCTTGCACTGACTTAATCGGTTCAGTGGACGATCTCAGCCACTTAATCTGATGAACCAAACCGTGTTGAGCCCTATTATATGCTATCAACTCAAATTACTTAAATTCTTTTGTGCATTATTCTTTGTAATCAATATTTTGTGATTTAGACATAAATGACAAGCAAGTCCAATATCTTGTGGTTTGAGAAAAGATGGGCTACCGAACAAAATATCTATAATTCATGTCGAATTATGATTTATCTACTTCTCCATCTGTTGTAATCAATCAAACATTGGTTATGTCGTTGTCCTTGTTGCGCAAATATAGCTCATGCACAGTTGCCGCTTGTTGCGCAGATAAGCACCTAAGTCTATCCATTTATTTTTCTCAGTGCTTTCCAAGCTGGACCGCTTGATAATACAACGGTTCGAATCATGAAATCACGTATAGTGCAAAATTACTTTTAATAATCATCGTCATTTAATAATTTTTTAGTTTGAAATTGAATTTTGTAACAAGGATAGGATGGTATAGGCCACGAAGATTGGAGGGGCAACAATCACGGCTGCCCAAGGCGTTGCCATGCGTTATGCTTTAGTTCATGCTCTTCAATCTTGATCATGAATGGCGAAATCTGATTGTAGAAGGGGACTCCAAATTGATAATTGACTCTGTCCGAGGACATTTGGCAGATTTATGCTTTCATTTGATTTCAACATGTTTTCATGGAGACAAATTTTTACAGCAGATGCGCGGTCCGTCTTTCCTTATCGGTTGTATTTCTTTTTTATTTTGACCTCTTTGAGCCTGCTTGCCTCAGGGGTTTTGTCTTGTAATTTTATTTTTTTTAGCATAAAAAAACAAAAACAAGGATGATATAGTTACAAGAGTGTAGTATTATTTTTTCAAAAAAAATTACGTAATGAACACTTTGGGGCACAATATATTTTGTTGAGTGTGTTTTATTTGTGCAGATATTATGTTATTGATGTGTTAATGATCCATTAAGACACTTTTCTATCCCAATGCGAGAAACTCGGATCCCGTAATATACGGAATTTGGAACTGAAAAACGTAGAGCAAAAAACTCCGAGAGGAAAATATGAATTTATTGTAAACATGTTTATGTCTTTGCACAATTCACTCCTCCTTTGGCGCTTTCCCCAATCCTTTCTTTGACCATTTGACTATTTGACTTCCCCTTTCACCTTTTTTTTTGGAACATGAAAGTTGAGAAATTGATTGAAATTGAAAAAAAAAAAAAAAAAAAAAAAAAAAAAAAAATTTTAGTTTTTTTAGCATTTTATAAATAAATAAATAAAATTTATTGTGTTATACTTTAATCTAATTTAAATTACAGGAAGAGGAATTTGAACTCGAGTGCAGAGTGAAGAGTATATCCGCTCTAGTTAATTTGGATAAACTCATGCCCGGAGACTTTCAAAGTAACATGATCATATTTTTAAATTGCCATGTTCTCTATAATCTTTGTTTATTAGATTCATGGGCAAGCCATTATTTGCAGTAGAAAGAAGTTATGTAGAATATCAAAAGATGGAGCAAGACCATACAAAAACCTTTTAAAGAAAGAAAATGGTGTGGCTCTCATAATTATTGTCTTGTTAATACACTTGAAAAATAGAGTAACATCACAATTTCCAATCCCACAGTCCTCCATGGTCTTTACTGGCTAACATGAACATTTCTAATTTCAAAGCAAAACAAGTAATATCAATTTCCCTAATTAATTGTCACTAATTAACCCCAAATTAACAACTAGGCACTTGGGTTTGAGTGTACTTAGTTTGAACCAAAACGCATCGTTTTCAGTGATTAACACGTTAAAACAAGAAGAAGTGGACTAGGTGGAGTCAAATCCCAATCCCAATCCCAATCCCAAATCCCTAATCTCTAAACCCAATCCACCACCAAAATCAGCTGTTTGGACCGCAAACAAAAATAAAAATAAAAAAAAGGCCCGGCCATCGAAAAGGCGACACAAGTGTTGGACCGCACGTGACTCCTGATGTCATCAGCCCTTCCTTAATTGTCATTTGGGTCCACGCCACCTGTGTGTTTGCTTTGGGCTGGGAAATCCAATTTTTTAATTTGGTTTTTGTACTTAATTTTTGTTGGGATTTAAAAAATAATAACAATAAATAAAAATTGTGGTCTAGTGTTTGAAAAATTCAACCTGTGACTACTGACCAGACCCAAATTGCAGGGCAGGCAGGTCATGTTTTCTGGGGGTTTCAGATCCCAAGCTCTGAGGCCCAGGTTATGTCAATAAATTATATAAAATTTAATTTCTCTTAATTTCAATTATAAAATGGTCGAAAACACAATTTTGTTGCCCTCTCAGCTGACTTCATTTTTCTATAAGCAAACTACAAAATTTGTATAGACCTCTTCATCACTCAATTGGACACTAATAGAATGTTTAATACCATTATACCACTAATTGGAAATTATAACTTGTTTGGACCCCAAAAAAAATAAATAAACGTTAATTATATATATACACAATTATTCTCTCATCCAGATGTCCGCACGTTATTATCATGCGGATTCTATTGTAAACAGAAAGAAAATCATTGAGGGGTAATAGAAAATACACGACGTCCATAATAATAATAATAATATATATATATACATAAATAATTTTTTGGGCACAAGAAGGTCAAAGTTCCTAAATATATTATAAAGCAAGAGTCAAGGGTTCAATGTTTGGTGGAAGCTAAGTGGCAAATAGAAAATGTAAATTCAATGAGGTTTCATTTTCATGCAATTCCTCTACTATGTTGAAGTTGAAGGACAAAAGACAGAGTCTATGAAGCATCAAAAAGTTTTATTTTCTGTTCTTTGGACCATAAAAAGGCAAAAATGTAAGACACTTGGAATGGAATTGAAAAAAAAACACCAAAAAGTAGGACATGGGTACATTGTTTGCCAATGCACATCCAACAACAGCAAAAGCCAATTCAATAAAGTAAAAAACAAAATGCCAATTTCATGAACCCAATAGCCCTTCACCTTTTTCAATCATCTTAGATTCCATTTCACCATAAACAGGCTCTTGACTTGTTCATGGGATTCTTTGTTTTTTTTCTTTCTGAATTTGTTCTTTTATTTGAGAATATGGGAGATATTTTTGTGTACTATTGGCAGCTAAGAGTGGAGGTATTAAAGTCTATCTGTCTCTATATACCATTTTGTTGGAATCTACTTCACATGTAATTGGCTTCAAGCTTAACATGCATATCATGGAAGCCAACCAAGCACCTGGTTTTCTTAAAAACAAATCCCAACAACCAGTGGGTTTTTCATGTCTTTTAAGAATCCCAACAACCAGTGAGTTCATCATGATTTTTGTTTTTTTTTCATTTTTAACTAAACCTACTTTGCACTATTTTCCTTTTCAATTTTTTGATCTGGTATTGTATGAATAATACTTACAAAATTAGGGTAGTTCTCTTTTGGTTTTTTGCCTGACACATGACATGAGGGTGCATGTTAATTTGGTGTCATCATTCACCTTACCATGAAGCCAACATAACATTCTTCTAACTTCAATTAGGTTAATGTAGGTTGAACTGGCCAATGAACATGGTCATTCTCTTAAATGCAAATATGTTTGTTGATTTTTCAAAAGCATGGAAATGCTGAAGATGTGCTTGAGTGAAAACTTCTTTGCATTTCCTAGAAACACTGTAGGTGAGAACATGACCTCTGAGTCTTAAAAGAAAATAGATCACTTGCAGAGATGACAGGCATGCAAAATTTTCACCATAACATTGGGCTTTATTAATATTGAGTAGAACATGTACACTTAGCACAAGAAATATACTAAGATGACACAGTTAATAAGAGGAGTTCAATATCCCATTTCTCCTAAACTAAAAATTAAGTGAACTTCAACATTCATTCAGTATTCTTGGCATTTAGTCTCAAATGCCATACTAGACTAAGCAAATATGCTCAAAGGACCAGTCTTATTTGTTGCGCTGAGTCCATTTTCCGCATTTTGCATTCCTCGAATCCACGTCCTGCAAAACAGTTTTTCAAGTTTCATGTTAAATCAATATCCACATAGGAAGCTCTTCTCATATATTCAACATTAGATTGGAAAGTTTCTCCAGATGTTTGGAAGAGAAAGGAATGCATTGGAAGAGAGATCCATACATATATATCTATTAAGTGTGAGATCATTTTTTTCACTTACCTGCCAATACTTTCACCGGTTGGATGTGTTAGAATAGTCAGTCTTTTTGCTTTTTTCATAAAATCACTGCATTGCCAACAAAAGGAGAGAGAAGAAAAGCGAATAAATATATAGCTGATGAAACCAAATTCACCTGAAATGGGAGTTAAGACTCCATGCAGAGTTCAAAATTCATATGACAATAGTTAAGAAAAGAAAGATATAACATAATAAATGATACCTGAATGGTTCAACTCCAGTTTGTTTAACAGCCCCTGTCACATCCCGGTAAAGAACATGGCTCAGCATCTCTGGTTTTTCTATTCCAAACATGTTGGCCAGCCTCCTGTACAGCTCTTCATAAGAGCCAAGAACCGAGAGGTCCAGAGTCCGCCCCACATCCTCTGACTCCATGAACACCTTGCAATGACCGGTATCCAGGTCAAAGTCAGAACCTTGAAAATCCTTATTCCATGGAAACCCAGCATCAGAGGATTTTTCTAATGAAACTTGCATCCCATGTGCAGATTTTGAACCATCAGAAAGAAACTTTGTTCTGTCTTGGTTCCCATTTTTTGAATCTTTCCCAGCAAGTAATTGTGAAACTGCATCACTGGAACAGCTCCGAGAAATCTGCTGCTCAGTAAGTATTGGTTGACCAAAGAGTAAAAACTGGTGTTTCTTCACATTATCAGATTTCTCCGAGTTCTGACTAGAATTCCCCATTGTCAGCAAGCAAGAAAGGTTTTCATTGCTGCTTGTATGGCCTGCCCTAATGCCATTGGAGATTCTAGAATTTTGATCGAACCGCTGGAAACTGGATTGGAACAGCCCTGACTGCAGTTTGTTGTTGACGTGGAGATCTGATAAAGATATTCTAAATTGAGCATGCCTGGCTCCCTGTATGCCTGCAGGAGTGTTGTCAGGTAGACAACACAAGGGGCTGCTGGGCCCAAGGGGGTTGCCTGAAAATGATGGCAATGTTAATTGCCCATCAAGAGTAAAGTCTGGTTGCGGGAGACGCAACTTCTTTCTTGGTGGTGAAAAGGGTGACATGTGGATCATGGGAAAATTTGATACCAGCTCAATCAACCATGGGCTGACACACTTCACATTCTGTAACAAATCTGGCTCATCCCATGTCACCTGTAATATGGTGATTTGTCAATAGATGTAAACGGGAAGTGATGCAAAGCAGGATCAAATGAGGTTGCATTTTTTAAACAGACTACAAATAGGACATAATTGCAACATATTCATCAATAGAAGGGAACATGCAAAAAAATTGAGTCTATAGTTAAACAGTTTGGCTGTACTAAAGAACAGTGTTAATATTGTCTTTCCATGTAGAGTTCATAATTTTTCTTATAAGATAACATACAATTCTTCCTGCGCACAGTAAGACCGATGGGATGAGTTTGGCTTAAGAATGATGATAACATTCTTATCAACTAAGAGGGGACTGGACATGATGTGTTCTGTTTAGAATATTTAGGAACTTCAGCAGAAAGGCTGAAATGTTCCACAACTAAAACAATATAGATTCTCTAATGTTATGTCCCACACTACTATGAATGACCATATCGAATCATGGCAGCATGTGAGCTCCATGAAAGTCGTCAGACACCTGTTCTAACAGCAACAGAAGTTTGGTGCTTCAGACCGCATTTACAGCCCAATCACACAAGGATGGTGGCCGACGAACATAAAGGAAGCAAGAACTGCAGCAATTCCCCAAAATCAGATGGGGAGATGAAAAACTGTGAATTTGGCATGGTTGTAAATCATTTTTGTCTTAGCCTGCAAATGGGTCAAAAAACTAAAAACACTCTGATTCACTCAAAAACATTTCAGCACATCTAACCAAATGAGAAGAGCCAAAACCTCGAGACCTCGGATTCAAGAATTTTCACAAACTGATACAAGGCAAAAGATACAAGACATGACATGATATGAGGGAGGAGAAATCTGATTGTTCTCTCCCTAGTCCCTACCAACAAACCAAATAGGACAACATGCAAGAACAGCCCCAAGAACACAACCTCAGAAAATAAAAAAAATAAAAAAATAGACAACAAAATTCCAAAAACGAAGTACAATTTGAGCACCAAATCACAGAACAATACAATACCTGTAGAAGTCTCCAAGGGGAATTGGGCCAGCGAATTGGGTCAGAAACCTGAACAGAAGCAATTGTACCCATGAACCAGCTGATCCTAGATGAGTCCTCAGTCTCAAACGCCATCTTGAACCTCATTCCTGAGCACCACTGCACCCTCATCGCCGCCCTCACCGCCGAGGCCTTAACGCAAAACTCCGGCGTGCTGGCCCTCGGATAATAAACCACCTCAAACGCCTGCCCATTTGCCGCCATAGTTGCAGCTTCAACAACACTTTCAGGCCTCACTCTCCCCTTTCCTCTCATATTCCCATTGGGACTCAAATTCCCACCCCCGTTTCTCACCATCTTGTTCTCCTCCTCTCTCAAAAACACAGAGAACCCACCATATGGAAGAACACAAGCTCCAGAGCCTCCTCCATGGCTGTTGTTCCACCCAGATGCCAATTCAGGCCCACCAGCGCCATCCAATCCTCTCTTGGCTCGCCTAATCCCAACACAAAGATCACCATTTTCAGCTCTCAAGAACACAATCGAGTCACCAGCCACCAACTTCTTCTGGTTCACAAATGTGCTCCACCCAGTAGTCAACAAATGGCGCCTGGGCGTGCCTCTGTAAATGTGCCTGAACTTCCATATCTCGCCATGAACGTCCTTAGCAATCACGGTCTGGACCGGCGGGTCGGCCGAGTAATCCAATCGAGGAAAAATGGTTTCAGCGCAGTACCTGGGTACAGAGAACCCACCGCCATTGTTAGCGTCCGATTGGGTCAGAGTCTTAGCGAAAGATGCTGGCTTTTCTTGATTTTCAGACTCATCAGCCTCCATGGAGCCCTCATCCGAGGCATAAGGCTCGTTGTTTTCAATTGGGTTTAGCTTAATCTTGGCGAAGACCTCGTCGGTTTCTGGGTCCGCCATGAATTTGATGGAGGCCACTTTACAGAGAATGAGAGATGGGATTCTGAGGGAGGCTGATGAGAAATCGACATGGGCTTGAGCGTGCTCTGCGTGGCCTTGTGGAAAGTAGAAGACTTTTGAGTTCACCGGAGGCATGTGGACCATGCCTCCGGCACAGGCGTGCCATAGCTGAGGATCCAAGCTTCTCTCTAAGTCTCTCATGGTTTTGGGTCAATTTCAAAAGGTACCCGGATGAAGAAAAACAGTGAGTGTTTTTGGGTTTTTTTGTTTTCTGGTTTTGGTTGTTGTTGTTGTTGTTAGAATGTTGCTGTTGGTTCAAGGCAATAAAGGCTTCAACTTCATGGTAACGAAGAAGAAAAGTGAAAAAGCTTTGCACTTTTTTGGGAGAGCTTTTGGTGATTCAGTGAGTAAATGCTGTGAGCAAGAAAAACAAAGATCCCAAAACGAGTTAATACAAAAACAAAGTGAATAGAAAGTGGACCTCTAACAATCACGGCATTAAATTCACAGTTTTTACCTTTGCTGGGTACAACAAAATCGTCACAATAAAAAAATAATTGTACCAAATAGGAGTGTCGAGTGTGTGTGGGGTTCACTTTTTTACTCCAATTCTTTCATCTCTGTCTTTGCTTGCTTTTGCCCATTCCCTTCTTCTTGTTTCACTTCAATGTAACACACAGGAATCAGAGAGAGAATGACTGTTTAGATTCTCTCACTACCCAGTAGCCATCTGCTTTTTCTCACTGTGAATTAGCTCCATTACATTAAAAAGCTCCAAGCTTTAATAAGATCAGGTCCCTCTCTCTCTCTTCTCTCACTGTGTCTCTCTCACCTGAATTTTTCCTCCTTATCTTCGTTTTTGTCGTTCACATATTCTTTCAGATGTAATCAGATCTGAAGACGTGGAGGTTTTCTCTCTCCAGAACCGGAACAAAACAAATCTTTAAACCAATAAGATTAATGGGTTTTTCTTTTTCTTCTTGAAATTTAACAAATCAAATCAAATCAAAGAATTAGCGATAAAATGAGAAAATATCGCGAGTGAAACTAAGTAACCAGTAACTGGTAGTCTAGTACTTGGACTGGCTCCGAAATCAGAGCAGTCAAAAAGACAAACTTTAACTCAACCCTCGAGTTAAACTCGACTCTTCTTTGATTTTCCCTTGGTTAACTGTTAACTAGCCCATAGGATTAGTACCAACCTTTGGGGGATTTTGTGCACTCGATCTAGCCGGAGCGTGACGGAAGTGGCACGCGCATGGTTAATGGGAAAATGAGGAACACTCGCAGGAGGGAGCGTAGGGGAGTGTTTGGTGGGGAAGTGGGGGTCCGCGATGTTTTGGTCGGGGCCGATGCAGGGGGTGTGATAGGGAAAGGAGCGTTGGTAAAAAGGGTGAAATGGTAAAAGAGATAAGAAGTGGTTGCTTTGTGTGGAGACTAGGGAGGAGTGATAGTAGGGTGTATACATTATTCTCTCTTCTTTCTTGTTACGAAGAGGAGAGGAGAGAGAAGAGTGTATACACTCGTTCGTGCAGTAGTGTATACACTCGCTTACACAGTAAGCATGTACACTTACTTATCTATTGGAATTTGAGTCGGGTCCTATCAAATATAGTGTTATGAATCTAGCCAAATTATAATACTTTTACAATTAGACCTTAAAATCCTAAATTGTGAACCCTAAATCCATTACAAATTTATAGTGGACAATGATTTGAACACAATTCTTTTAGGCTCATTTATTTCTTCTCTGAATGCAAAAAATGTAAACTATATAGTTTGGAGTGCATATGGGCAAAAGAGAAGTGTCGAAATCGCTATCCATTACAATTTGTGCAGACTTGTAATAACACTTGTGTAAAGTTCCTTAACCGGAAACAAAACAACTTGACGTGAGAGTAATTTTTTAGTAAGACACTAACAAAATATTCAAAACATAAATTCATTTATTTTTCTTGGTACAACTTCTCAAATCTTTCTCACCAAAAAAACTTCTCAAATCATTTTTCTTTGTTTTTTGGATACAACCTCTCAAAATATTCAAGGCCTAAGTAGAAGCCAAAAGTGATGGTCATGAGCTACAAGACGAAAACGGCAAATTGAGGAAAAACACCAACTACTTTTCAAAAGATTTGTCAACATTACCTAAGCATAACTTTAGACGGAGACTAGAGAATCTCAATATGTCACAACCATTTCACAAAGTTATGTCTTTACTTAACAATGTTTTATTTATTTATATAGTATGTTTACTTATTCGTTTAAACAAAAAGAAATTTAACACTTTGGTAGATTTTAGGTCAAATAAGCTGTTTTCAATTTACTTTTAATCTTCATGACACTGAGATTTCGTCTATGTGTAAAATTCTTTTGCTATAAACGTTCATTTAAGACATCTTTCAAACCCTAATAAATTCTAATCGTGTAAGAGTATAAAGTAAACTCTTATTAGTAAAAATGTAAAATATATTCTGAAAGAAAACACATTATTAGTAAAAATGTTTTTGACATTTAGTATATTTTTATTAATAAGTAACAACATCAAATCCGTTACGGAAAATCCCTCTTTTGTGAAAAGGTTGAAAGCTTTTGGTGAAGTAACAAGAACAACATCAATCCCGACAGATAACATCAAGCCAATTAGGCCTCTTAAAGAATTTCATAATTGTTACATTATTAATGAAAAAGAAGGAAAGAAAGAGGCCCCCTCTTTGCCTCTAGGCATGCTTTAGGCATTCTTTTTGACCTTTTAGTTTAAGCCTATAAAGCCAAGGTTTGTTGCATCAATTGCCAATCCCATAGAGAAATCAAATTAAATCAATTTAATTTAATTTAATTTAAATTAATTGGTTGGGCAAGCATATGAGAATTGATACCAAAAACACAAGGTTGAGACAAGAAATAAATGACGTGACCTTGCAATTAAATTTAGCATGGCTATATATATGAAATTAGGTGGTTTTTCTAACTATTTCTTATCTTATGCTTAGGCCAACATCCTTGGTCCAATTAACGTACAAATTTGCCGTCTCCATAACCATGCCAACCAACCCTATTGTGTGTGGGGTCTCATCAGCCTCTGGATTTGTTTGCTTCTCTTGAAACTCTTTTTCTCTCTGTGGTCCTTCTAGAATTGGACCCTTTTTGGTTTTTTGGATGAGAAAACCAACTTTGGCTGCCGACGCTAGCTACTGCCCAAATCTCTTTAAAGAGAGCTCTTAAAAGTCCGTCATCATCAAATAAACAGTCAGACATGTTATTTTATATGTTTATAAGTTACGTGTTTAAATAATATTAACGTCACATATCAAGCAACATAAATTAAATTGTCTGTCGCGTATCTTGTTTATGAGTCCCATAATGACATATACAAGTGGTGTTTTATTAGTGATGAACTCAAACCAAGGTATGTGAGAAAAAGGAAAAGTTTGGTCCATGTAGTTGTTGTTGGTAGGGTATTGCACCATGTGAAGAAGGCCAAGGATTGATATATGCAAAGCTAGTCTATTATCAAACAGTTTGGTCCCTGTAATTTCTTGTTTGTTCCAACTCATACAAAGCCAATGGAAGGTCCAATATTAAAGCTATTAGATGAGCTGGAAAAAGTAGCAAACAATCACACCATTCAATCCAATTTAATCCGATCCAAGCTGCATTTATATTATATATCATGTTTCAAAACTCCCAAAGAAGCATACCGTTATGCTCCTTTCACAATTTCCATTTTTGTTCTCTTCCCCTCCACACACTAAATGCTTGAAGAACAAACGAAAAAGAAAAAGAAAAAAAAAGGTCTACACGGGTTAGCCGACCAGTTGATGAGGACAATGAATCCGTGTATCCGTTTCCTTACACTTAAGTTCGAGTTTCTTTACCCGTAAATTAATTCCTGGTTTGCATTAGACCAAATCACCCAACGACAGCATTGTGTTTGGCCCCCTTAAAACGACAACCCAACTGCTACTGCCGGTTAGACTGTCATTGTTCAAACAAAAAAGAAAAAAAACAGAGATTAAAATAATAATAAAACCAGTGGGGACAAGACAAGGCCTGTCTTCTACGGGCCCTTGCTAAAGTGCGCCGTGGCGCGCATTCAACCACAGACCAACTTTCCCTTCTGCGTAAGGCGGAGGAGCGAGAGAAGGAGAGTTGGACAGCTAGAGACAGACAACCCATGAGGATGGGTGATATGAGAGAGAGAGAGGTCGTACGAGTCTGGACCTGAGGGGGAGTATTATGCTGACATGTCACTGCCACATCTGTAGAGTTTTAATGCACTGGAGGATTATGGGGCCCACTCCGTGCGACAGTCCACGAAATCTCTGTCGTTTTGGGGTTTCTGAGTTCATCCCGAAGAAACTCTCCTTAAGTCGACTCGGTGTTTATAAAGGGCGGATCTCGTGACACGTGTACGTGCAGGATCGGGGAGAGCTGAAAAGGGACCATACACCACCCGACAATTATCTGAAAACACATCGTTTCAAAGCTGTGCCGTGGGCCCGTGACTTTCTTTCTTTCTTTCTTTTTTCTTTTTACTTAGAAGAATGTCGGGCTCACACTCATATCATGTATATGACGCAACCCAAGTAAAACCCAAGAGATGTATTATTAGTTGTTAACCTTCAATTTGAGTTTCCTTTAACCATTCAAACATGACCAAATTTGGAGCTGGATTGAATTTTTAGCATCCCCCATTTTACTTAAACACACATTTTTTACATCCACAAATAAGAAAATGCTAAGAGTCATACGTCACTCGAGCGAAAACAACTCCCAACCGTCTATACATTACTTTTAACCATCCAAACATATCTATTTTTTGAGTTGGATTGAATGTTTAGCATACCTAACCCCAAATTGTACTTAATGAAACATAGATATAATTCACAAATGAGAAATGTAAATAACAATCGCTCTCTCGTGCGCAATCCACTGTCCCAAACACAACTCCACAAAAAATTGGCCCCGAAGTATTATATCCATGGGAAAAAAAAAGCCCTCAAGTTTACATAAATCTTGATATCAATGCTCATCCTCGGACTATGAGTCACAATTTTTTATTTAAGGTTTTTCACACACACACACACGAGTAAAGTGCCATGAATTTCAAACCTGAAATCATTAATCTATAAATCAAAGTCCTTTTTCTATTGAGTTAGACACCGTTTACATGGTTACAAATTAAAACCCTCCTTTTGTAGGTACAATTACCAGAGCGTTGTGTAAAAAGTGAATATAAATTGGGCCTAAAGGGATAAAGAGTGTTCCAACTGGAGAAATAATGTTCAATTTTCTGGTGAAAAGTCTTGGACAAAAGTATTTAAATGGCACAAGTCAAAGCACGCAGAGAGGTTGCTTCCTTTGTTTGTTATGGTTGGTTTGGTTTGGCAGAGTTGAGGGTGGTGACCATTTTCAGCAAGTGGTGGTGTGATGGAGGAGGGACCATTGTCCATTGTACAAGAGATTGGTACAATGGCTATGCAGCAGCAGGAGATAAGAATCTGACTAATAAGAGAGATACAAAAGTAGCAAAAAGCTTTCAAGACAGTCAACCGAAGATCCAATCCAATTCAATCCCATTCAATAGTTAATGGTTGCACGTGAACATCGTGCTCCCATTGATTGCTAGATTGAGCCCAACACTCGCATTTTGCTTACAAGTAAGGAGATATTCTTTTTTACTTGATAAAAATAAAAATTACAGTTTGACATATTTGCATAGTAATTTCTTTTTGTCTTGTAATAAGTATTTTTTGGTATCCGCATGTAATTTGCATTGCGTGAGTGCTAACTGGCATAATAATCCAATTAAAGAATGACGTGTTTAAGAAAAACAAACATATCATAAAATTTGTATACATATCATATCACTCAGTGTTTAAGCTTTTATCTCGCACTATCACACGTATATTTGATGAGGAGGAAGTTTAATGAACAAATTTAATAACTCTAGGATTATGATTTTAATATGTACATAGTATAAAAACACAAGTATGTCAACACACAACCAGCCAAGGGCCGTGTGGCCGCTGCCTCCCTTTTGTCATCTGTGTTGGACTCTTTCTTATACCCTTTCGTTGAAAGTTGGAACTCTCTAATATTCATAATTAATGCGTTTTTATTTTTATTTTAATATCATCATTTTTATGTTTTTGTGTGTGTGTGTTTCCGACATCTCATTGTGCTTGCTTAATGTTGAAAGTTTATTTTATTTTATACAAGCGATATTGGGGAGGAGGGAATCGAACTTAGAACATCATGTGCGGGGATAAATACTCTTAATCACTTAAACTACAAGCCTCTTACTAATGTCCAATGCTCTCTAATTGCACTATTTTATTCGCATCCTTTTGGTTTCTGACCCCTTGAAACTATCTTTAGTTTCACTAAAAACCCCTTTATGTTGCTTTTGATTGCAAGGAGAATTTGGATTTCTTCAGCTAGCTTCATGTCGATTTATTGCATTGCCGATTTTACAAGAAAAAGGTCAAAAAAGAAACAAAACAACAAGCAAAAACACATGCTATATGGATCCTAAGGGTTGACCCCAATACACATGCTTGGGATCATTCACTCTCTTTTCATTATCTACACGCCTATTGTACTTTACTATTGTCTATCTCATTTCTCCCTCTAAAAGTTCTTGAAGTAAGCTTAGTGAGTTGATTCTCGGCCCATGCCCTTAATGTAAGGCCCAGCCCATTATAAACAATGGACTAGAGTTGATCACTGGCATTTTACGCCCAATAAAACAAGGAAAGCAAAATACATGGGAACAAGTCCAGAAGCCAAAATATATGGGAAGCCTTGTTCCCCAAAACTTAGAGCAACAAGGTCAAGGAACAATCAAAACTTAGACTATCATGAAAGTTAAACAACTAAAACAAAGAAGTAATCGAACAAGGAAGCAAGTAAAACGGAGAATAAGCAAAACTGCACTCACATATAGTTAGGGCTGCAATACTTCTTCAAGCGTGCATATGAAGATTCTCAAATTTTAATCTGATATGGTTTTGCTTTTTAGGTTTATATGAGTTTTTGGTTTTTTTGAAAGTTTTTTAAAAAAACTGATATTTATGAAAGTAAGGGGCAAATTTTAGCTATTTTTTATTTTATAAAAACTCGAAACTCACAAACAGAGGTACCATGAGGGCTCGAACCCATAACCATTTTGAAGCAAACCAAAAGCATGGATCAATCCAACTAGGTCCAAAGAGGTTGTTTGCTTGTTAGGAATAAGTTAAAAACTTAACATTCTAATTTAGAAAAAAACTTCTATGAGATGGGCCTCTAAATTATGCGTCTTTCTAGCTTTCTCATCTCCTCACAAAATTTCATCCATACTAGTAGAAGTTGTTCATAAAGTAATTTCGTTTCAAGAAACTCACGTCACGTGATAAGAAAGATGAATACCCAAAGTTATAACACCGTGACATTAAAGCATTTCTCAACAATTGCTGAGTTGATCTTAATATACATAGTTGTACTTGTACCAATAATTCCATTTGCTGACTCAGGTCAATCTTGTTTGCTTTCAATCAAATTGGGTTAGCGATATAGAATTGGTACATCACAGCCACACATAGTGGTCAGTGGATCACCTCAACTCAATAATGTGCACATGCAGCAGATGGCTTGAGTAAATGAGCTCATGATCATATAGATATGATATGAAAAATTGTATTGAAAATTAGCTCATCAAAGATCAGTTGAAGACAAAATTGAGTCATATATGTTTTTTTTTTTTTTTTTTTTTTTTTTTTTTTTTTTTGGTTTTTTTTTTATATATATAAAATCTTGTTCTGTTCGGTGGCCTTCTGGGGAAATATCACGTGAGCCTTGGTGAATCTTTGGAGCCTTTTACCTCAACCATTTATAAAAATACATCAAGTCTACAACAAAAGCCCCATTAGCGGCAACGGTCTAGCCCAGTGAAAAGTGCTTTGACTTGCAGACCAGTCATCTCAAGTTCGAACTCTAATAACATTTTAATAGTGTGTATGAGAAAATCACCCTCCCCAATATCGCTTGTGAAAAAAAAGCCCCATTAGTGTAAAAATACATCCTATTATTCCTCTGAAACTAAAGTCTAGTCTCTTTCCTAAATTTAAATTGGACTTGTGTCCTCCCAAATCATAAAAGAGTTTCTTTAGCTATTGTTTTTCTGATAGTATTTGTTTTCTTTTTGGATTACTTCTATTGAATAATTGAGTTTTAGTAAATTTAATCCACCAAAACAAGTTACACTCTTTATTTTTAAGCCGGTGCTTATTATTATTTGTCTATCAAATTTCAAAATATCATGACTTTCATTCTACATACTAATTTTTAATATAATTTGTACTTCTGTAAACATTCATCTATCGAATGGGAGTACAAGACTCATTATGAAAATCAAATAAGTTCTATGCAAGAGAAATTGGATTAAAATTCTTAACAAACTCTTCATCATCTTTCTTCAGAATCTTATTTGCATATTTGTTGAACACTTCAACAAGAAGTTTGAAGAATATAAAGTCTAATCGGTTTTTTTTATTGGTTAAGAATTTTTCATCAAGCAAAATATCAGAGAATGGGAAATCAAACACAAGACGAGACCGCGAGTCCAGGGTAAATGCTCTACTACTCTAATTTTTGGTTTAGCATGAGATGCCTACAATTTAGGTTACTCTAATTTTTTCTCCTTCCTTCCCTTAAAGTTTTTCCCTCGATGGAGGTAATGACTGCTCTGGACCGATAGGGCAACGACCTCTTATTCCATCATGTACACAAAGAACATATAAAATAAATTATAAATAAAAGCAATAAAACAGAGACAAGAAAGGTCTCTCAGCTAAGAGGACTGTTCTCATTTTCAAATATAATGAAAGAAATGACTACCCCTACCATATGAGTTTCCTACTGGGCCGAGGATAAAATTCCCATAGTAGCCCCCTGGCAACCCTTGTTTCTCAACTCTATAACCTTCTTGTGGGAGTTGGAATGGACCGACGCAACGAATGTAGGACTTGCAGCAGGGCGGTACTCTGGAAAGAGACGGCCAGACCTATAACGAACCCCGCACGCATTGCAGAGGGTCTTTGGTCCTAGTGGCCCTTCCCTCCACTGAGGGGTCTTCGTCACTGCACAGTGCATGCATCTTTTAGTCTCCCGACTCTCACCTGGTTCCTCCTGGGAGAGCTTTCTCATCTCTGCACTTGAGAGCTGTGATATATTCCTTTTCTTCTTTTGTTTTCTTTTGGCAGCGTTCGACATCTCCTCAGTGAGAGAGCCTTCTAAGTCTGATTCAGAAGCATCCCAATGATATAAATTTTCAGAGGCAGAGGAGTTGGATGAGGTGCTGGGGAAGAACTGAGTATTGAAAATAGCAGGGCTTGAACGCTTGCTTCGTGAAAGCTTGCTTCGGGTACGCTTTTCGAACTTGGGCTCAAATTGAGCAGCACAAGAGCCAATACTTTCAAGGTCCTCGCTGCGAATACTGCTTATGCCTCGGGTAGTTTTAGCAGCAGTCCTTGGTAATTGATTTCGCTGAGAAGTTTGTCCATACTGAAAGCAAAACAAAGGACAATTGGAATAACCAAAAGAAATAGATGAAAGAAGGACCAATGTTGCATTTATTACATAAATTCTGGCTAGAACAATAATAAACCCCAAGTTTCTTCGCAAGAAACGAAACAAGAAAAAGGCAAGCAAATTTAAGATACCAAGTACAAATGAGGTATCCTACCATTCCTAAACATAAAACTCAGTGAGTTTTCATATGTGTTTCACCATCAACTGCACGGAGGTTATAACTAATTTATATGGGCCACAAGGCCATTATGCAGAGGTTGAGTCTTCTCAAGAATAAGATAAAAATTGAACACCATCCACATTGATAGACTTAAAGAAAGCTTCAAAGCAACAAAAGACCCTAATTTTAGAGTTATACTCTATATGAAAAACGAACACCAGTCACCTTAGTCCTCTTAGAATTGTAAAACTAGAGCTGAAATCTTCAAGTGGAGCCTAAAACTTATTTGAGATAAATTGCAGATGCATAATAAGCAGTTTTCTCTAATCAAATAAGTATATCTTATATAAATCCTGCCAACCAGAAAAAGCCTAGATCTCTAATTCATCATATCCTTTTATTTGTTCTATAAAAAAAATCAATACTGACTTAATGTATGGTTCTGATTCTTGTACATTACAAACCATAAGGAAAGACTCTAATACCTATAGCACGAAGTGAAGAAACAATAGCCTGTTATGCATGTCTTGTACGTGCAAGATGCATTGGTTAAATCTAGTCTCAGAATATAATCTGAGCCTCATTCCATCAAAGTCAGTCAGTTACACCATATGATTTACATCCTTCGAGGATATGTTCAACTTGCAGGAAGCCAGTTTGGGTGGTGGAAATACAAGAGCAGGCATGAAAACTCAACTACATAACAAAAAAATCCTATATAATGGAAGCTGTGATGACATGCTAGAGATGTATACTTACTTCTATCTTCTTTCAAAGTATACCTATAGTATCTTATCAAAAGAAAAATATACAAATAGTAGGCTTTCCATCATCACTACACTTTGCCTAACCATAATGTTCATAGTACATTAAAAGGGTAAGGTGCATTATTCAAGCATTTGACAATAACTAGTTATGTATACTTTTTGTATCCCATATGAATAAAATTGCCGATTATATACATCACTTAGTCACAGTCTTCCTCGAATATAATATGCCATAGTGCAAAGCAACATGCAGAGACAAACTAACTAGTTATGTATGGAAGAAAAATTGTCAAAACCAAATGCTGGGCTCAACCACCAATCATATTAGCAGAAACTATTCAACACAACGGCGCCATGTGAAACTACTTAATAGAGGCAAGTACCTTTTCACAGTAAAAACAAAATATAATGAAAACCCTTTAAGGGGAAGAAGATAATAAACTCACCGAAGTGGAGAGGTTCTTAGGTTTCATGTCGTCATTACCATCCAAATCTCTTGGACAAAACAAATCTTCAAAGGAAGGCGGTTCGAGGTTTTGGAATTGCGCATACCAATCTTCGTCTTCAACACACTCTTCAATGTCTTCCATGGGGAAATCAAGAGCCTTGAGTTCGTCGGGGAGGAAGCTCTCGATATTGAAATTATCATCAGTGGGCATAGAACTAGCCATGGCACTAATATTCTGTTTACAGTGGCAAAAGGGCAACAAAGGAAGCAAACGTTAATTAAGAAAACTCTAAGGCATATTGACAAACAAGTGAGCATGCAATTCGCTTGTTATATATAAAGTTCAAAACAATAAAACAAACTCAAAAGGAAAAGCTATCTCAGGGATTGGATTGGATTGGATTGGATTATTACGTAATTACTTATCAACGTGGGATTGCATTATACAGACGGGTTTGGGCTATAAATTCACAGGAAAAACGGTTTTGATTGGGTAGAAAATCGTCATTAATTGAAGGTTACCCTAATTAGGACTCTGAATATTCTATTATCCAATTAATTTCTTCATACGTCCTTTTTCGGCTCGGTACTTTCAAAACCAGCAACGTCGCCGTTTTACCATGGCAGAGACTACTCTAGCAAAATGAGAAAGAAAAAAGAAAAAACAATCCTCGTATTCCGGATTCCCAAAGCACCCTGTTTGGCTTCTGAGAAAATGCCGGGAAAAATAAAATTGCTAGAAAGGCAAACAATAATTCACATTGCATGGAGATTAAACAATTACAGTCTCAGTCCAACAACTAGCAGAATATTTAATTTCAAATAAATTCAAAAAAATTTAAAAAAATAAGCGGAAAGTAATGGGGCCTTTTTTGTTTTGTTGTTTCCAATTCAATTTTCTGGCCAACCAAACAAAGTAGAAACGAAGGAAAAGAGAGAAAATGCAAATACAAGAGAGAAGCAAACTGCGAAGGCAAACCTCTGAAAAACCCTAAAACCGGCGAATGAAAACATCATTCACGAAGAAGAAGAAAAATGGTAAAGAAGATAGAGGGATGGGAGTGTTGGACCTCACGCTTCGTTAGCTTGGTGACGTCAGCAGAGACCGCCGTCATTGTCTTGTCACAAGAACCTAAGTGAGAGAGGGAGAGAGAGAGTGTTTGGTTTTGGTTGTTGCAGAGAGGGGGAGGGGGAGGGGGAGGGGGAGAGAGAGAGAGAGGGGGGGGGGAGAGGGAAGGGGAGAGAGAGAAAGACAGAGATAGAGATATAGAGAGAGGAGAAGGAGAAGAAGGAGAAGATGGCTTTCTGAGCCCCTCTTTGCCTGTCTGAGATTGGAATTTAGGTTTTCTTTTCTCACCATGAGTAGGGGGGTTACTGTGTGAAGCTGCCCATGCGTTTTTACAGTGAGGTCTCACTTCCAAATTAGATTCAGATTTTGTTCGCTTCATTCAGTCAACGTCCACAACGTGCATAGCGTACTTTTAAGTTTTTCAGTTCAAAGTATTTGCAACACACTACGCTTCAATTTTAGTATTATTATTATTATATGCTCAAAATTCCATTTATATCACTCAAAAATATTACTATTATTCTCCAACAAAATAAATTCTTTGTTTCTTTTTCTTCTGAAATGAAATCTTTAGCAAAAAGGAGAGAAAACTAAATTATATATTTTGAGGAGGAGCTTCTTAGATTTTGATTCAATCCTTACCGACCCACACATTTTCATTGTTAATGAGAACCAAAGGATCAAAATTGTTGTGAGAATGCGTATACACTTATTATATGTAAGTTATTTTTTCCTTTATTCTGTTTCTCATTCTCAAAATCTTGGTTGTATCATGCCCTGTCCGACCTCATGAATAATCGGGCTATAACCACGGCGTCTTGGTCTTAGATTACAGTAGCCTGACCATGGAGCTTTTTTTTGGGTTTCCTTCAAGAAGTTCGAAACAAACTGAAAAAACAAAATGCAAAAGATTTTTAATTTTCTTTTAAGATTTAGAAATAGAGCAATAATAAAATCAGATCATGCATTATAGTATAGTCTAATAAGAAGCGTCGGTGGTTGTGATACGAATTCAAATGAGGAGGTGGCAATGTCACATGTGGGCCTTAATTTTTTAATGGCATCAAACATCACCATCGCTACCACCACTCAACTCAACCACTGTATATGTATCACCGACGATTGGGGAACATTCTTATTTTATTTATAATTTTTGGTCAAATATTTGGGGGAACAAAATTCAAATAGTGCAGTTGCCATCCCTCATCTAACAAACTAAATAAATAAATAAATAAAAAAATAAAAAAAATCAATCTAAGTCAGTAATTTTATGAATCTTTGATTGGATCTTTTTATTTTCTTCCCTATTTCCTTGCTACTAGGAAAAGCCAACTTGGGTTCAAAGGAAAAATCTCTTCTTTTTACATTCCCCATCACCATAATGTTTTGAGTTTCTACTTTAAACTACCTTTAAGCAACACCCATGGGCCACATATACAAGTCATAATCTTTTTCAATTGCATCAAAATGTAGCCTCTTAATACAAAGATGAAACCCAAATGATTGGTTTTGGAGAAGAAAATACATACCAATTTGGCTACGAAAGGGATGTAATTTGTAAGTCGTATCCAACTCTTTCTTCAGGATAACAACACCAACCATAGAAATTAAATTTGTCCCCTTCTTTTCTGGGGTTAGGTTAGGCTTCAGATGTGCTCTATCTGGACTGATTCAACCACAAAATCAAAAGACTATGACAAATCAAATAGAACCAAGGATGAAAATAGAGTAAAGTAGTTCCCTTTGTTTTCTATTTACTTGTATTTGTTTTTTTTTCCCAATAGTTTTGAAGCATGTGATGCTTACAGTTTATGAAGGTGTATATTCACATTTTAATTTCTGACATCCAAAGAAACAAGGCCGAAAGGAGTAAAACAAGAGTCATGCCTAACTAGAGGACTTTCCAAAATGACATTGACTGCCATATGAGCTGTTCAATGTACTCTCCCGCTTCTCCTGCAATTTAGATACAGTAATTAAAGGAATTAAGTACCTATGAAGCACTCAGACAGTGTGCCATAAACGAGAAAGACTTCCATGAAATAGGAATAACACTATTTTGCTATCCCCGGCCAATAACGCTATAACACACGTGATAACACTTCCACGTCGCATAGCAGTATTGGCCGGGGATAGTAAAACAATGTTATCCCCATTGCAACTAAGTTTTTCTCGAAATAAAGGGTCATTAAAAAAAATTACCTGTCATCAAAGCATGTAAACCCTTGGCTGCAGAGAACACTGGAATATGCTATGGTCAGACGTCCAAGCGCGTGTGGTCAACTAACCTTAGCAAAATCCATACAAATTTACAGGTCGGCATAAACAGCTAAAACAGATGAAACAGACACGTTGGCTTGTGAAGTGACCAAAGTATACCAATCATATTGAAAGGTTATTACGTAGAAAGGTAAGAAAATAGGATCAGTTTTATCATTATGAACAGAACATGTAAAACAAATAAGTAAAATATGATTAAGACTTTAGCACCACACAAAACACTTTCATATATGCATATAAAAGAAAATAACTGTATACATACTTTGTAACAGGTGGCCACTATAGAGAAATTGTCAGTTCATGTCTGCAGGTGGACAGGCAAGATAAAAGCTTGGTACAAAATATGAATATCTAAGAGTTATTGTCACTGTGCAATGAACCCAAGCTGCTCTCATGTTGGAGAAACAGTCAGGAAAAGATTTGGACAATGAAAATAACCACGATGCTGCCATAAATCCCTTTGAGGTCAAGCAACCATCTGGGAACTAACAAAGGTGAATGCCTAAAACAGGATTTCTGTATTTTAAAATCTAAGGCATCATATACAATTACCAACAACAATCTGCTATTTCAGTCCCAAAGCCCCATTACAATAGAATTTACAAGTTGTGGTTAGATGAAATTCCTCACCTGGAAACCATCTGAACCCTTTCAAAACATGAACACCTACAAAAAAGAATTCAATTTCTGAAACCATCATAAAGCATTTTCTTCAACCCAATTATATTTTCAGTTCACAAGCCCGTTTTTGACAAAACTAAAAATTCATGGGTGAATGTACATTTATCAATTGGAAGAAAAACAGACACAATACATATATTTTATGCATCCTGCCACGCAGGTATGATGTATGTATATATGTATGGAATTGTGCACTGTGGTAACAAAGTTTTGCATTATAGGCTTGCATTGTTCGCAAAGGTATTGTAAGCATATTCATAAAGCTCAAGATCGAGGTGGTTACGTTGCCTTATCTGCTGGAGAACCAGTTTAGGAACCTGAAGTTATGCCTATAATATTTTAAAGGTGAGCAAAGAAAAGAAAAGAAAAGAAAAAAACATAAGAGAGAGCTCAATTTATGCAAGCCAACAAAGGTGAGCACTGAGCTATAGCAACTCAACACTGACACAAAATTAAAGTGCCTAGAAGGAAGTTCACAAGGCAAGAAGCAAACAAGGGGAAACTGCTATATAATACTTTGACTATCTCATAAATTGGATATGTTCTAGATATATTGTGCATCTAAACCAGAAGAGAGAGCAAGTTCGAGAAAAAATGAATGCTGTGCACACACATGAATGAATGTTGCAAAAGATAATTTATCGTACTAGCTAGTTTGGAGAAACTAGAAATTTAAGGCTACCTCCTTTGAAAAGTTTTCATGGGGAAGATTCTCTTTAAAGAAGAGGTGCGCTTGCGTGTTTGGGCCTCCAGTAAATTAGAAATGCAGTCTTCATACGCTTCCATAGGTTGTCCCACAGTCATCTAATATCATGGTAGAGAGGATCAAAGTCAACATTCTGAAAGTGGGAAACAGATCAACTCCCATTGTGTCAATATCCAAAATGGTTTACATCTTCGTTGACTAATTCAACAGTCTCAAGTGAAGCAGTCTCACTTTCTTTTCATGTGAGGTGCTGTTGTCTCATTTGAAAGAAAAAAGCGCAGCAAGAAAGCTACTAAAACCAATATTCAAATCCCATCCAAGTGGTAATGATGAGTTTTTCTAATTACCTGAAGCTCATTGTCATTGGGCTTGGAAACTGAAGCTGAGCAGATATGTTCTGCAGCACAAGTAGTAGAATATGAAGGCGGCCAGATTCATTACCTAACACAACCCTATCTATAATTATCATAAGAAATGGAAAATGAATATGTTACCCAAACAACTATGCACCATTAAATTCTCTAATGCTAACAAAGTTCTGTCTTAAGGTATCAAAGTTGAAGTGCATGTTCTCTACTTTATTGTGTTCTCAGCAGTAAAACAAAACAGAACATATACATTTGCCTGTTTATGAATTTCTACTCCTGCTCAAGATAAGATAACAGAAATGATAAATAGATGCCGCACTGACCAGATTTGCTGTTAGCAGCACTCTGTTACTAGAATTTGATCCCCGGGCACCAACTACACATGTGCAAGCATGGCTGCAGATTCTCCAACATATACATACATAAATACATCTACATTTGCAAACATACTTGCAGGCACCAATTGCATTTGCAACAATGGTTACAGATTCTCCACCATGCATGCATGCATTTGCATACATCTACTAATCTACATTTACGTGCACACAGACATACCAACATGGAATTATGGAAAATACAACTAACCCCAACCATTTCTCCGAGCCCAAATGGCACATGATACGCACTCCACATCTCGCATTAAAAACACTACAATGTGATAGGATCTAAAACTTGAGAATGACCATGAGTTGGGGAAAATAGTTGGGCTATATAGCATTGTCCTGCATGCATAAAAACTCCTTTGGGGTAGAATCCATACACCTTATTTCTACTCCAACCATTGCTAACCAGCAAAGAAACATTGGCATTCTCAGAAAGTGTATAAGAAAAAACAATGACATTCATAAACTGACAAAATGAGCATGATAAGTATTTATTTAGTTTTATTCGCTCCCAAATTTTCCTGGAATTTATTTCTTTTCCTTTCAAACAAACAGGATTAGAAGCCAAAAACCCAAAAAATGGAAAACAGAGAACATGCATTTTCGACATTAGGAGTTGAGGTATGGAAATAGGCAAACGTATAAGCATTCAGAAAACCCTAACGAGCAGAGGCACAAGAAGAGAGCGAGAAATTCACAGACAGGAAGAATAAAAGAGGCGAATGGAATAGAACTCAACGAAATTGGAGGTCTCGTGGTCATAGAAAGTGGCGGGACTCAAGCAGACAGCGCGGAAGTTCAAAGAGGTCTGAGCCCCCACCATTTGGAACCTTCCAGTCCAGAGAAACTGAAAAGGGCGGTGCCTGGTTTAAAATTTTCTCAGCAACCAAACAGGTTTAAAAATTAAAAACATTTTCTTGTAGCTTGACATTAAAATTTTGTTTTTTTAATTTATTAAACTACTGACTGGGCTCATCATGCACCATGACTAACAATGCTTTCATAAAATAATAATAATAATAAAAAAGAAGAAAATTTTAGCTTCAACTCAAGAAAATCTTTAGTAATTTAGACATGTTTTGTTTTTCAAAAATCGTATAGCCGGGCGGCTGTACGTTTTGACACGTGTCGCCTATGCACTAAGTGATTCTTTTTTTAATAAATATATAAATCGTATAGCCGCCCGGCTATATCCCTTTTTTAGTTTTTTTAAAAATAGGTTAGCCCTATACTCAGTAATGTTTCATAAAAATAGTATAGCCAGCGGCTATACTTAGTTTGACACGTGGGCGTCTAATCACTCATCTTTTGTATTTTTTATAAATAGTATAGCCGGTCGGCTGTACTTGATTTTTTAAAATTTTTTCGGCTATACTCTGCTTATTCTTGTTTTTTAAAAATAGTATAGCCGCGCGGCTATACAGGTTTTACCAAATGTGATACTACTAACTCAGTCAAGAACAAAGTTTGAAACCAGGAATGTTTCAGCAAAAGTAGACTTGTTCAATGATTAACCATCTTTCTCAAATGCTTTCTTTCCTTTTTCTTTAGATACCATTTTCCATGATTGAACAACAAGCTCTGATAAGTAACTGAAAGAAATGCTCCCAGCAATTTTTATTAAGCACAACGCAGAACACACACAAACGCAATCCAACAACATAATCTTGACAGATAAACTATATGACCTGCAACTGTTTGTTTTCAAATCTTATGAAAAATCAGATGGTAGGTACAACTATTGATGTATTCATCCATGGATTGTCGATCTCCATTCAATCAATTATTGACCTTAAAAATAATATTCTATCATGGGTCAAATACACATATATGCCAAAAGTTTATGTACATCAGTATGATATCTTCCAAATCTCAACATATTCTGTCAGGTGTGTAAAACTTCTCCAACTAATCTTAAATACAAGATGCCAATTATTTCAGAATTAAAATTGTGTAAGAAAGAGGAAATGTCAATTGGACTTCCTAGTCTAGTTCCTTTCCTTCTAGATTCTTCTACAGTTACCCTTTTTCTAGTATAGTACTACAAGAAACACTATTGTTTTTCACCATCCTGTGCATCATGGATAGACATTAGAGGCTCAATCCACACCACACCACTTTTCCAAAACCAAGAAACTATCAGATAAGCAATTGAATTTCTCATATCTAATTGGTGACCCACAGACACCAAATCATATCTAATCAGATATATTTTCTAAAAATCCAGCTTAATAAAAAAAATTAAATTAAATTATAAATTAAAAAACAGATGATTTGATAAACCTGTTTTTTGAGCCAATTTCGCAGCTTAGGAACTTCCTCCACCAATCAAGATTTGGTCCGTCGAATCTCCACCTTCTTTGCAACCGCCACAGCCCGGTTACTCACCCTTCTCGGCTTTCCGCACATTTCAGCACACAATCAAACACCAAACACCAAACACTCGAACCTTTCTGTTTCCCCTTTCTCTCCGTTCCTACATTTTCTCGGCAACCAAACAGAAATAATAGAATGAAGAACAGAAGCGATTCAACCAAACCTGAAGAGCGGCTCAGAATTTTGTAGTTGACACGAGCGCAGAGACGAGGGAAGGCATCGTCGCCGTAAGGGTTGCGGTGGTGGCGCTGCTGCTTCTCGATGTCGTACTTATCGTATTTCTTGCACATTGAGTCGACTCGGCATATGCTCATTCTTGTTTCCTCTCAGAATGAGAAGAGAAGATCTAAGATCTCTGCATTAGAGAGAGGTTGAGAGAGAGTCTCGTCTCGTCTTGACCAGGCATTGCGTCTCTCTGTGCCTGTTAGAGAGAGGGTGAATCTACTGACGGGTTTTTTCATTTTTGGAGAAGGTAGAACACGACAGGGTGACATCATTCACTGTTTTTTTTGCCGCGTACACATCCCATTGGGCATTTCCGCCTGCCCACCCTTTTTTTTTGGCGGGTACACATCCCATTCGGAATTCTAATTATAGTTCTTGGCGAAAGGTAAAGCCGTTTTTTTTTTATAGAAAGTATTAAATTTCGGATTTTGGGTCTCATTTGTTTGTGTGTTTTTTTTTCTGGAAACAAAGAAAATTGTGGGGTTTAAATAGAAAATCTCTTTTAGTTTTTATTTTATTTTATAGTTTTTTAATTTTTTTTTAATTTTTTAATTTTATAGTTTGGGGTGTATTTAAGGGTAGTTTGGGAAGATAGTGAAGTTTTCTTAGAAATTGTGAAATTTAAATTAAAAGTTGAGGTGAACTAAGAGAAGTGTGATGTTTAAATAGAAAATCTCATGATATATTGGGTTTTCATGCCCTTAAATACTTTTACTAGCCCAACAAATTATTTTAATTTTAGAGGTCGTTGTGGAATTTTTGTTTTTCATTTCTGTTTGGATTCCTATTTTTGTTAAAACTTCTATCGATCAACAACTTAAAACTTCTACCGATCAGAAACTTAAAACTTCTACCGATAAACAAACTTGTGATGTCCTGTACTTAAAAACGTTTTTTTTATTTTTATAAAAGAAATAGTATCGCTGCCCAGCCATACATGGTTTTTTTTATTTTTTATTTTATAAAAGAAATATTATAGCCGCGCAGCTATACTTGATTTTTTTTAGTAAAAATAGTATAGCAAACGTACAATACTCATATTGAACATGTACATACATATTCTTTACAAAATTTTCAATAATACACACAAAATTCACATATTATACACATAATTCTCACATATTATTGAATACAACAAAAATATATATTAAAAAAAAATTAAAAATATATATATATAAATACTATGTAGTGGCTGAACTTTTAAGTTGTAATATGCCAAAATTTTGATGCGCAGCTATACCAATTTAATATGTATAAACTAATGCAAGGGTTTTTTTTCTTTTAATTTTTTTAATAGTATTTAATAGTATTTAATAGTATAGCCGCGCGGCTATACTCGGGTTTTCTAATTTGTTTTAAAAACAAATAGTATCGCGGCACGGCTATACTAGGTTTTTAAAATGTTTTAAAAAGAAATAGTATAGCCGCACGGCTATACTCGGTGTTTTTTTGGTCATCACCATGTGGCAGAGAACTACTCTTTAAATATATATGAATATCTAAACGGTATAGCCGCACGGTTATATATATATATATACACAAATATTTTAAGGGAAGAGCCGTGCGGCTATACTCGGTTTTCTTGGACATGCCTGTGAGTAGAGGTGTCAAACGGGACGGGCTGGCCCAGCATGGCACGAGCCCAGCCCATTTAAATGAGGCACGGCACGGCACGAGCACGAATATTAATGGGCTGTGCTAGGCATGGCACGAAAACTTGGGCCGGGCTTGGCCCGAGCACACTTCAAGCACGAGCCCAAGCACGGCCCACTTAACGTTTTTTTTCTTTCTCAAAAGTCAAAATGCAATAATTTGACATCTAATGTCATTATTTATATGTTTTTTTAATCATAAATATATATTTGATGTCTTTCATTTTAGGGAAATTACTTGGGTCCTTAATTAATTAAACATATCAACTACAAATTAATTAAACAATATTGGACTTGATATCTAATCAGTACATATGACATATATGCTTCTCTTATAATCAAAGCAAGACATTATTTCACATATAAAATAATAGGTTGTTTAAAGATGTAAAGTTGAACTGGACTTTGTAGAGTTTGACACTTTTTGCCCTCTGCCATTTTCATATTATTTGGATGTTCGATTGATTAATGTTTTCAAATAGTTCATCATTTCTTTTCTCTAATTATATTTTAAATGTTTATAATTTGAATTATCTAGTGAAAAAAAAATGAAGTGAAAAAAATTCAAATTAAATGGATTGGATCTTGGGCCCGAGTATGGCACTAGTACGAGCACGAGCACGGCACGAGCCCGGCCCGGCCCGTTTCAATATGGACATGGGCTTTGGGCCGGGCCGGGATCAATAATTTTACTAAATGGGCCGGCACGGCACGACCCGATAAATTAAATGGGCCGGCCCGGCCTTACACGAAAACGTTAAAAACACGAGTTTAAATGGGATGGGCCGGCACGGCACGGCCTGTTTGACACCTCTAGGCGGAGAAGGGCTTTTTAAATATAAATGAATATTTAAAAGGTATAGCCGTGCGGCTATACGCTTTAAATATTTTCGAATATTTTATCGATCAACCAACTGAAAATAGCACACAATTAAATTTCCTTAAATCCTTAAACTTGTATCGATCAACAACTTAAAACTGAATCGAGATGATCTTCTGACTTCGTGATGTCCTATTTTTGTCTTTAGGTTCTTTAGTTTGTTTTTAAAGGTCAAACGACTCAAAATCTTTTTTATTCAGATTAATTATTGCGATGGTCTTTGAATTATACATTAATTTCAAATCAGCACTTAAAGACAAGACAATTAAATTTTTTTACAACCAATAAATCAGCACTTAATAAAAGATAAGCTCTTTGGTGTGTTATTAAAATTAATCTCCCTTCACCTCCCCTTTCTGGTAGTTTTGGTGTGATACCTAAAACTACCAAAAAAAAAACCATCAATTCAAGTTTACAAAAAGTTTAAGAGGGACAAAGTTTTGATGAGTTGAAAGCTGAGGCACGCTTTGCGACATTAGATTTCACAAGCTTGTACATGGCCATGCCCATACACAGACCAAATAAAATCACCCTCCAGTTGCTCTTCCTCCTCGTCCTCTTGCTCGTCCTCCTCGTCCTCCTCGTCCTCCTCGTCACAGTCTTTGAATCCTTCATATAACAATCAATAGTCCGCCAACTATCCTCATCATCAAAACAGGCCTGCAATTACAAAGCAACTTTTTTTATTTTTATTAAAAAAAAGCAGATTAATTATCTTAGAATATTAATTAAAACACACTCTCTCCAAGCATATTAATTAAGCACCTGATAATTGGTGACGCAGATAATCTTGGTCTCAATCAAATTATCTCCCTTCTGAAGAAAAAAAATAAAATAAAAGTGATTTTCTTGAGCAACAAATCCCATATATATTAAATAATGTATATACAGAGAAATTTTTTTGTTTTTGGTCAAGAATGTATATAAAGAGAATAGTAAACTCACTGCGGGAGTCGACATACTTTCCATGGATATCAGCTCTCAACGTATTTGAATTGGGTGTTCCAACAAACAAAGCATGGATTGCTTATTATATTGTTCAAAACATATAAAGAAGAGTAGGGAGATAAAAGCAAAGAAGCTAAAAAGGAAATATATCTCACGGATTGGATGCTCTTCTATTTACTAAGTGGCACATTGCAGTAAAAGGAAACTCTATTTATTGGGTGAAAATCTCCATTCATTGAATGTTAGCCAAAACCTGGCTCTTAATTTTAATTCATGTTAGCCATTGTTGTTTGATTTCGTAACAGTGAACTCTAATTTTGACATGTTTATGTATAAATAAATTATGCTCACACGCGTTTCTGTTAGAAATATACACTTCCTAGAAAAGCACTTGGCAACGCTTCTCGAGAAAAACACTTATACATTGCTTATCCAAAAAGTGCTTCTCCTGAAAAGCACAAAAAATGTTTCTCCATATACAGCACAATTACATCTAGAATACATCGAACTTTTAGTTATTTTTGCCAAACATTATTGCAAGAACCACAAAAAAAAAGCTCATCATGCATATGCTCACAAGTGTATGCACTAATTATAAAAAGTCAAGACAAAACAAAACAACATAATCAAATCGCTCGAACAACAGTGTATGTTCTAAACAGTGCCCGAACCACACAAAAATAGGCTCATGATGGTTTTAGAATATGCTCACAAGTGCAAGCCCAAATTTTAAAACTTTGACAAAACAAATTTTGGACAAAATAATGAGATCGCTCAAACAATAGTGTAGTAACACCTAATTGTTACTGAACATTTGTAGACAACCCCATCACACTATACTTTTGTACTATCATGACACAATTGTTCGTACAACGGTGTAGTAACACCTAAATGTCACTAGATATTAGTTTTATTAAAAAAAGTCGATATTAAAAACGATCATTCAATCCAATGCAAACCAATATTAGATGAGATTAGATTGAATCATAATCTCTTGTTGGACTGGATTATAAAATGTATCCAACTTACATTAGATCAGCTGAAAATTAGCTGAAAATTGATCGAAGAGGTGAACAACCCTAGTCTTCTGGCTAAGGAACCCTACTCCAAAACAAGATTTCCTTCTTTGGCAACAAAAATTAAAAAAAAACAATGAAAGCCCTAATATCATAGTACTCACTTTCCACCGGTAGTTCGACCAGTGCTCCACCATAAATTGAATTTTCCAACACAGAAAATGAGAAAATGTTATTTTTTGAGGCGAGACAGTAGAAACAACAGTATTCCGAAATCCACCAAAATAGAGAGAAAATTCTCAAATTGTATGAAAAATATGTTAGAGTTACCGATTAGGGTTCTGTAAGTTTGTTTAAATAAAAATATAAAACCCTAAAAGCCTAAGAATCTTAAAAGGAAGCAAATTACCAAAACGAAAAATTAATTTCAATTGAAGCAAAAATGGAATAAAATATCACCATATCGGGAATCCCAACTATTCACGATTTTTCCTTTTCTAGAGTAATATTTGTTATGCTTGAGAGAAAATTTTCGCTTCTTGAAAAGAGAAACCTTACCATTGTTTCTTCGTTTGAGAGTGATTCTGAATAGG